GGGATGAGGCAAAATTGGAAATAGAATGAACAGGCAGAAGGGATAAGAAGCTTTTTTCAAAGAGGTAAAGGGTAGAATATGGTTGGATAGGTGAGAGAAGGATGCTGGAATTATCCAGAGAAACTATATAGTCTAATTACTCCTGAGAGAAAGAGATGAAAATGTCGGTAGGTGTAGAATTTACATCTACAGAATGGAGTCGTTGTGATTGTTTAAGCAAGCCAGCGACCAGAGTTAGTCAGGTCAGTGTTCTGGGGGAAAAGAGAGAAAAGAGAAAGAAGAAGAAAAAAAGAAAAAAAAAAGGGAGGAGGGCACCTCTCAGGCAGGGATGGGCGTGGCATGATCCAGTGCCTCAGGCGGGACCTCTGCCTTGGCGGTTTTGGGGAGGAGAGTGACGGTGCTCCAGTCCCTTCTTGAACCAAGCGCTGCACCTCGCTTTTTTGGGCGTGTAAACTCCCTGTACCAGGGGCGCAGCCAAAGTTGGTTGCACTCTTCAACCCAGGCCAGTCCCAATCTCCAAATCCCAGTCTGAGCGCCCCGCTGAAATTGCCTTAGACACAGATTCCCAGTCACCCCCTCGGGGCAATTCCAGGCCCCCTGCAGAGCTCTGGGGGTGGAGTCCGAATCGCTGCTTCCTTCTCTGGGTCGGGCTGGCGAGCATGCACAGGGGCTTGCCTGCTGGGTGCGCTGAGCCCGCTGGAGTGAGGAAAACCAGGTCCCTCTATGGCTCGTCACCCGAAACACGAACTCAGGCAAATTTCCCAGTTTTTAGCACTTTGCCTTCCCTCTGGAGCCCCAGCCCGCCAGGAGCACGGACGCCCGGTGTCCGCGCGGCTCTTTCAGGGGCCCCAGCCGCCCGGGAGCTACAATGGCAGCAGGCGCGCCGCTGCTCTGAAGTCCAGCCGCCAGGAGCAGCACAAAGCAGCAGTCTGTGCGCTCAGCCCCCTCCTGGGACCAGTTGGCACGAGGGGACCTGGTGTGCACGTATTTGGCAAGTACGGTCTTTCTATGTCCCGAGCAGAGGATTTTCCCCCCCGAGCGGAGGTTTTTCTGTTTCGGACTCTCTCCTTTCCCCCTCTCACTCTCCATAGAGGGTAGAGGGGGATTGCCTCCCACCCTGGAGTCTCTGATCCCGGCCCGATTTTATCTTCCCCAGTTCGCACTCACATTAGAAGGCTCTCTCAGTGGATTCTGAGTCCTTTTTCTCACAATCTCTCAGGTTTTGTAAGGTTTCCAATGGCTTCAGATCTTTTCCGTGTGATGTATGGGTGCGAGTGCAAGTACGGAGCTCCTTACTTCTCCGCCATCTTGCCCCCTCTTCAGAGCTAATATGGTCTTAATGACAGCCTCTGGGCAACGGCGGTTCTCAAGCATCTCAGTGCCCTCTGAGAAGACCTGCTCTCTATTTCCTGCCCAGACATCAAAGCGCCCTACTCGAAAATAAACTCCCACCATAGTCTTTCAAATTGCTTCTTGCAGAAGCCGAAATGTGACCTTTCTCCCCATAGTCTGCCTAGGTCCTATAACAAAAACGTTTTCTGGTTTTTTGTTATCAATGTCTTTACCACCGCCACTTCCTTTAGTGGCTTTTTACGCTGGGTCAGCTTTCTCTGCTCACCAGAGCGGTAATGTTATCAGAAGCACATATATCTTCCTTCTTGCTTCACCACTTTCTCACACTATTGAAATCCCTTAGTAGGACTCATTACTCATTATTTGAATAAATAAGTCTATCAAGGAGCACAGAGGTTTAGCAACATAGTAGGCACTGTGGAACCCTGAAGAGAGTGCCTGAAGCATTAACAACAAGGAAAGAGTGACTGTCGTTCCAAAGAAACAATTTGCTCAGCCAGTGGAACGTTGCATGGTGTGCCCTGTTTGACCCTTGTATATATGAACATATACGTATGAACTGGACGTCTGCCTTATTCTAAAACAAATTTGAGATGGTTTACAAATGTGAAGTCTTTTTTTTAATGTTCATTTTTGAGAGAGTGAGCACAAATGGGGGAGGGGCAGAGAGATACAGGGACAGAGGATCCGAGGCAAGCTCTGTGTTGAGAGCAGAGAGCCCAATGTGGGGCTCAAACTATCACACGACCTGAGATCACGACCTGAGTCAGACACTTAACCGATGGAGCCTTTAGAGCAGATTTCAGACATTAAACAAGAGCAATGAAGACAAAGGGAGAGAAGTACTAAGCCCAGTACATTAGAGGCCCCTCCAAATGTAATGCTGTATTTTTAGAAGCCAGCAGGGAAATTAAGTTGATGGATATTTTTGAGGACTCTCAGATGAAGGGTAAAATGTTGCTGCTTTAATCACTTACTACTAACACCAGCTTAACTAATCAACCCGCGTGAGCACTGAAATCAAAGGTGATTGTGATCAGAAACTACACAGGGTATGTTGGCCTCAACGAGGCATAACCAGAAGCAAAGGGTGAATTAAATTAAGATATTCTAGGGAGAGGCACCTGGGTGGCTTAGTTGGTTAAACTTTTGACAGATATCACGGTTCATTAGTGCAAGCCCCACATTAGGCTCACTGCTGTCAGCACTTCAGATCTTCTGTCCCCCCCCCATTCCTCTCCCACTCATTCCCTCTCTCTCCCTGCCTCCTTCCCTCCCTCTCTCTTTCTCAAAAATAAACATAAAAAAAGATGTCCTAAGTAGAATTTTCTTTTTTAAAAAATTTTTTTAATGTTTAATTTTGAGAGAGAGAGAGAGAGAGATCACAAGCAGGGGAGGGGTAGAGAGAGAAGGAGACAGAATTCAAAGCAGGCTCCAGGCTGAGCTGTCAGCACAGAGCCCACCATGGTGTTGGGAGCCATTCTGAACTCACTAGTTGAGAAAACTCCTTGTGAGGTTAAGGCAGGTTTGCAAGGTCTCCTACTGTCAGATGATGACTGATACCCACTCCCACTCAACTGTTTTTGCTTAAGCACCAACCCCCGAGGCACCTTGTTGATTGGTATTGGGAGTGACTTGTCCCCTTATTCTGGCCCTGGTATGCTGAGTGCACCTTGTGAAGGAACTTATTGTGGGAACTTCTTTTGTGATTATGGGAGCAGACATTGTGTTTCCTGAGGATACTGTTTTTCTTATACTTCCCCTTAAGCAAACAGGCTATTGACCGCTGCTCACAAAGAACTAACTTTTGCCTTTGCTATGCTAAAAACATTGTCTTGTGTTTGAACGCTAAAGATACCTTCCTTCCCCATATGATAAGCATTTAAATCACCTACCTCAATCACTACTGATAAAGGTTATGCATGAGTCTTCTACAAATCTCTGCTCTGGAAAATTTTTACATATCAAAGAATTTGTCATCAGAAATCATTGTCTAAGGCAAATGCCACTTCTGTGCTGTTCCCCATACACTTAACCATAAATAAAGCTGAGACTCCATCAGTGCAGAGATGCCTGCCTGGTGAACAGAAAGAATCTCAGGGCTCTCTCATTCCTCTCTCACTGACACTGTCCATCCTTCAGGGACCCCTGGACCGGCTGGAGCAGGACTCTGGCAACATGGGACTCGAACCCACGAACAGTGAGATCATGACCTGAGCTGAAACCAGACACTTAACCAACTGAGCCACCCAGGTGCCCCCTAAGTAGAATTTTCTTTAAGTATGTGGAGAATGGGGGAGTTGGTTTATCGAGGAGTTAAGTGTTTATTATGAGAATACCATTTCTATTTGAAAAGTGTTTATCATGAAGATGACCTGTTTCTATCCACACAGTCACAGCTCCTGCTTGATAACGGTGACTTTCCAGTTTTCCCTGTTCTAATCAATGGTACAGTTGGAGAGAAAGTCCATGCTTTCCTTGATTGTGAGCCTCCTTCAGCTTCTCATCCTGCAGTGTTTCCGAGGCAGCCTCTGTGAGAGCAACCAGACTTTCTGCCCGAACTACTTAGTCACTGCCTTTTATCTTGAGAGCCTGGGGCAAAGAGATGGCTTCGGAATGTATTTAAGAGTAGAGTACCATTTTCTTTTATTTTTTTCCCTAAGACTCTTTGGACATAACAGGTAATGGGAATTATTACACCCCAATTAAATGGGAAAGAAGAAAAATAAATGCTCAGCAATACATTTTAAATCTGCTTTCCCCAAATACATGGTCCACTGCACACTTAGGAATTTTAAATGGCGCATATCTGGAAACATTATATCATCTTTCCTGAAATTTTTTAATGTTTTTTTAAAATTTATTTCTGAGAGAGAGAGAGGCAGCATGAGCAGGGGAGGGTCAGAGAGGGAGACACAGAATCCAAAGCAGGCTCCAGACTCTGAGCTAGCTGTCAGCACAGAGCCCGATGCAGGGCTCGAACCCACGAACCATGAGATTATGACCTGAGCCTAAGTTGGAGGCTTAACCAACTGAGCCACTCAGATGCCCCTCATCTTTCCTGAAATTTGGGTAGGGCTTAAAAATGTATTATTTCTTCCTTGGTTTGTTTGTGGAGGAAATTGGTACATTGTAAAGAGAAAATAGAACAAAAAATGAGGCTTTGTTTGTGACCAGAAGTTTGGCTTTTGTACGATTTGGTTCCAGGAAAGTCTTATTGAACAAAAGCCTGGAGGACCATTTACATCATGGTCTACATGAATGGCGGCCCCTAGGTCACCTCATGGAGCACGGCAGGAATGTTGCCCCTGGGCTTGTACAACATGGTGGCCATGGGTCCCGAAGGGTCAGAGCAAGGAATTTCTGCTGGGGGACTTAAGTATTTGCTAATAAGCAAACCTGGAAGGAATGTTCCTTGACTTCTCTAGCTCCATTGACACACACCCGTCTTCCCTTTAATATTTCTTTTGTCTGAGCTGTAGCTTTTCAGTTTCATGCTAGAGCCCTTCTGTGTGATCCAGAGAAACTGGTCCAAGCTTTTCCAGAAAACCAGCTCTTCCCCACAGCTGCAAGAAGCCCCTGCCAGGGTGTCACCTCAGAAGCATGGAAGGCAAGGCCACCATCGTGCCCAAAAATGTCGCTGTGAAGTGATGCACCTTTGCCATGGCCCAGATGAGCTGGAAAGCCTGGGTGTTGAATGGCCCAAGAGGAATGGTCTTTGGGAAGAGACTTGGCTCCATTTCTGTAGCGTCAGCCTTTCAGTATTTAATTTGCTACTCAAACTGAAAGCTCATTTCATTCCAAATGTATGAATAATCCTATTGCAAAAGTTTTCCCTGGAAGTTGATGGATTAGACTCCTAGCCAGAGCCCCAAACTGGGGAGAGTCCAGGTCTATTTCCCTCTCTTCCAAGCTAGGACAGAGATTGACTTAACAAAGCTCAGCCACTGCTTTCAAACAACTGTGGAATCCCATATTAATTGGTTTACATTTATATGTGAAATATAGCATCCAAAGATAGTTCGAGAAAAGTAAGGGGTGCAATGTTGTAACAGTAACATACAATACTCTTACATTGCATCATGCTTTACCAGGCACTTTGTCAGACGTTACTTTTAATCTTTAGCACAAAACTATTAAGTTGATTACATGGTCCCCATTCGTCCCTGAGGCTAAGAAAGATTATGTGACTTTATAAGGTCACGTGGCCAGCAGGTGGCAAAAAAGGAACCTGGATAAAGGGCTTCAGGCAAAAAACCATCCAAAGATCTTTTCACCAGAACTATTTCCAACTCCTCAGGTAAATTTCCCATTGCTGGGGAGCTGTTAGCATCACAAAACAAAACCGAGGAGTCAAGTAGAGGCTCTTGAAGAAGGGAAGGTACATCTGTCCATCCTCACCCCGTGGTACAGAGCAAAAGCATCATCACAGATAGTTAATCATAATATTACTAAGATATACAGTAAAAATAATAATCATAGGGGCACCTGGGTGGCTCAGTCGGTTAGGCTCAGGTCATAATCTCGCAGTTTGTGGGTTTGAGCCCCGTGTTGAGCTCTGTGCTGACAGCCAGCTCAGAGCCTGAAGCCTATTTCAGATTCTGTGTCTCCTCTCTCTGACCCTCCCCTACTCATGCTGTCTCTCTCTCTCTCTCTCAGAAATAAATAAAACATTAAAAAAATCATCATCATCATCATCATAAAATGCTCATAATATGTAATAATTATAATAAACAATAATAATAATAATGTAATAATAAGTAAAAATGATAAAGGTGGCCAGGCACTGTGTTGCATACTAGTCATTTATGATCTCTTTGTCTATACAGTACCCCTGTGAGATCTGATATTATTCTCATTTTTCAGGAGTTTAGACAAATTAGGCAACTTGCTGGAAGATACAGTTATTCAGGGAAGAGGCAGTCAGGATTCCAACTCAGTCCTGTCTGAAGCTGACATTTATTCTCTTTCTATGCTCTGATGTAAGCAGTGTGGTTGGGGTTTCTGGGTGGCTCAGTCAGTTAAGTGTCTGACTTCAGCTCGGGTCATGATCTCACGGGTTGTGAGCTTGAGTTCCCCATCAGGTAAGTTTGAGCCCCACTTCAGGTGAGCACGAGCCCCACTTTGGGTGAACAGCAGCCTCACTTCAGGTAAAACACGAGTCGTGCTTCTGTCTCTCCCTCTCTCTGCCCTTGGCTCCCTTGCATCCTTTCTCTCTCAAAAAAAAAGAATAAAACAAACAAATAAACAACATGGCTGGAGAACTGAAATTTGTGTCATGCTGCAGGCTGTTTGGAATTGGGCTCTGAATGCATTGGGGTGAATTTACCCCCCTCCCACATGGGGCTGGGCTCTATGAGTGTCTGTACATTGTGATGGCAAACACTTATGGCAGTAGAATGCTCCCTTCTCTTTCCTAGACAGTTAAGATGAGACAGAGAAGGAGACTGGGAACTTTATACTAGGTCTTTTCGTGTGGTTCAACTAAACAACGGTTAAGACCTCTACCTACCATAGACCAAGTGTTCGAGAAATGCCAGACACTGTTCTGGGCACTTTGTATAGATTTTCTCATCAAAACCCCTCCCCAAGCTGACGAGATCGTCATTCTCATTATCCACATTTCACAGATGAGAGTGAGGGAGCTTACGTATATTTCTCAAGGTTCCACAAATGTCAGCTGCGGGGCCCCACACTATGTCCACCAAGACAGATTTAGGAGAAGAATGTTTGGTTTAGGGCCCTGGATGCCTTTCACTGATCCCCTAAACACACTGAATACTTATTATAAAACAAAAGCAGATCTATTGATCTAGATCCATCCATTGAAAAGCCCTTTTATGTCCACTCTTTCTTGATACAGATGTTCTCTTCTTCCCTAAAGCACCTGAAAAATAAAGGCAATAGGGGAGATGAAAGAGAAACTTATAGCTACTTTTAGAATTGTCAAATATCTTTATTCTCTCTTCTGAGGCCTTTCAAAACTCTAGAAGCTTCCGATTACCTGCCTGGATCTTTGTCTAAATTATTTACCACTGATGCTTCTTGTCTGATTGTTTTGTGGGGGAGACTGGGTGTTTTTACATTTACCCGGCATACCAGGGGGTGCCGGCCGCCAGAGCTGTCCCCTGTGGCATGGAAATCAGCCACCAAGCCCACAGACGAGGGACCCCTCCCCCACACCTCTTCTTCCCACCGTTTCCACCCCCAGCCTCTCCACACCAGCAGTTCCTGCGTCCTTCTCCATCCCTCTTAACCTTGATGAGAATCACAGCCATTTTGAGCCGGATGAGAACTTGCAGGTGATCTAGTCCCTTCTGCTATTTTCCAAGGGAGGAATCTGAGGTGCAGAGAAAGGAAGGGGATCCCTCGGCAAATCTTGAAGCCTGGCTCCTGGAACTCCATCCACCATGTGCCCGAGTGCTCGCTTTCACGACCTGCCGTCGGTATGCAGGGAAGTGGAAAAGACTGAGTCTGGCAGAATTCCTGTGAGGAATGAGCCCTGAGTGTTTTCAGAAGAAATGCTTTGGTAAAGCTACTCGTGTGGCCGGATGAGAACCCCAGGGATGAGGTCAAACTCTGAAAGACAGGTACCATATGCTAAGCAAGAGGTTGAGAGAGAAAGATGGCAAAGATAAGGGGTAAGAGAGACAGAGAGCTCTCTTTTCAGAGAAGAGAATGGAACCAGAAAAATGCCAGAGGGCTGTACACTGTGTATTCGACCCCTTGCCCAACCTAAAATCTTCAGTAAAATAAATACATATTTTGTAAAATGTTTGGCAGGAGGGGGTTCACAGTGGAAACCAACATGGGAAACCAACCAATGGCCTTGGCTTGGCATTTGGCCCATGCTGTTCAAGAAAGAAGTATGGGTGCAAACAGGAGTCCAGGGGCAGAGAAAATCATTGGAATCTCAGGGTCTCTCAGTGAGTTTCTCAATATCTACAGAAGGGCTCTGGGCTTCCCTGGGCCATTGAGCCAGTTGTATCCAGATTTCCAGAATGCAAGGGCTGACATCTGGGCATAAAGATGGATGTGGCTATCTTTGGGGAAGCAGGGAGAACCTCTACAGTGTGCCGTGACCCACCTGAGGCTGGCCCTGGAATGCCAGGGTCACGAGACAAAGGATTTAACCTGGGCCTGGACTGAGCAGAAAAGTGGAAAAGAGGCAATAAAATATTTTTAAAAGTTTTAATGTTTATTTATTTGGGGAGAGAGAGCACAAGCAGGGAAGGGCAGAGAGAGGGGGGCAGAGAGAGAAAGAACCCCAAGAAGATTCTGCACTGTCAGCTCAGAGCCTGATGTGGGGCTCAATCTCACAAACCATAAGATCATGACCTGAGCTGAAATCAAGAGTTGGATGCTCAACCGACTGAGCCACCCAGGTGCCCCAAGAAAGATATTTAGTTAAGAGTAGGACCCTTTAACAGCTCAACTCAGGTGGGAAAAGAGAAGAGGGAAAGAACACACTAATAGTACTAACAGTGCTTTTTGATGCACCTGTGTGCATAGCAGCCAAACACTGGGCTCCATTCGTCACATGTCATCAAAAGCCAGGGTCCCTCCATGCAAGACAGTGTCACATTCAAAAAAACAGTCCAGCAGATGAGACAAATGGAAGGGCTAATCTCACGTTTCCTTATGTTTCTCAAATATCTTTTATGGAAATTGAGTGTATAGCCCAGAGCGGTACTTAACTAAAATCTTCCCAGTGCTGCACTCCCTCCAACTGCCTTTTGGCTCAGCCTCTCCCTATTGAACATTGTCTTTATCCCTCCGCTCTCCTCTCTCTGCTCTATGTCATGTAGGTCAACTTAGCCTCTTCGACTTCTGTTTTCATTTTCTCTTCATTGCCCTGTATCTCAGCAACCAAGGAGACTTGAGGGACTGACCCGGTGAACACAATTCCTTCCTTTCCCTTCTATCCCCACACGCATCTTCACTTCTCCTAACTGTGCATCACAATGAGAATGGGGGCAGAGCTGGTGAAACCAGAAATCTCCACCAAGGGCAGCGAGAAGGAGAAACCAAGGGGTGAAACTCAACTCTTAAAGTGAGAAGGGCAGACAAAGCTGGAGCATGTATATTAATACCCCTTACCACTGCCGCTGCTGGACTGTGCATTCTCCGGGACACTTAACACATGTCACAGTTTTCCGCTGCATCAAAATCTCGACGACTTCCCCTGTTTAGGAGGATTGGGTGGTGTCACGTGCAGTGCTGAGGACTGCCACCTTGTTCCCCGTTACTGGGAGGGCAAGACAGCTGAACCAGCATTCTTTCATTTCTTTAACTGGAAAGTGACAAGTCAGTCAGGAATATTCAATAATACTTCTTAACCATATTCAGGACCCCTGAATATTTCCAACCCTGAATTTGGCACTGGTGGGTAGATATTTGCTAAGGACAGTTTAATACGGAATTTTCAAAACCAAAGTCTACTCCACGGCTTATAAACGTTTCCAGTAAGCTCACAGGTATGTCATGTAATTGCTGAATAAAGTCTCTAAGAGTTTCCCCCGTCCAGGCTTCTCAGTGCCCTGCTCGGAGAAGCAATAATCTGCTATATCTGCGTCTGGCTTCTGCAGTGGTGTGTGCAATATGAACAGTGAGGATGCCTCCACCTGATGCTGCTGGCTCTGCTGCACAGGCTGACTCGGTGCCACTTGTTGCCAAAGAATATCTGGAAACGGAGTAGAGACTCCATGGAGAAAATCATGGTCTATGCCATCAGGGAAAAGGAGGAGAGGTCAATCAGTGAGGCCCTGAGATAGATGACCCCGAGCTCCAGTGTAAGTTTGCTCAGAGGGATGCAAGGCCCTGCGGCTGCTGGGAACCATTCAGGCCTCCATCCTAGAAGGCAATTCCATTGGCTTGAGGTCATGGCTCTCGGAAACATGGATTCGAGTTGGAGGGCATTGTAAATCAAACACACAAAACAATGGACTCCACTCACATCCTGGCAGACGTGGTGAGAACTCTCACACCGAGTTTGTGCAGGACGCGGCTCTGTCTCCAAGGCGTTCCAAAGTGAGTTCAGGCAGGAAAGACCTACTTCCCAGATGATTGAAGGCACTTTGTTTTTAACATCCATGCTGAACCCACACACAAAGCAAATGGGGATAAACACCATGGGGAGCTTTTCCGGAGGATCAATTACCATTCATCTTTTTTTTTTTTCCCTTTTTAGGTCACTGAAATCCAGAGCTAATCTAAGCTTATGCCAGCTGCAATCTCGAACTGAAATATGGGAATTGGAACTAAGGAAGCCCACTGACGACTTCAGTTTATTTGTGGAGCTTTGTATAACTAAATTCAAATAAGGCAATCTATGATATATGCCCTTAAACCAAGATTTCTTGGGATTCATCCAAAGGGAACAACTCAAATTGATGATTAGAAGCTGTACAGAAGTAATTTTTTTTGCAAGTTTCAAAGTAAAATGACCATTCAGTTGGGAGTTTCTTTTTATTATTATTATTATTATTATTATTATTATTATTTATTTCTAGGAGAGAGAGAGAGAGACAGCGTGAGCAGGGGAGGGTCAGAGAGAGAGGGAGACACAGACTCTGAAACAGGCTCCAGGCTCTGAGCTGGCAGTCAGCGCAGAGCCCGACGCGGGGCTCGAACCTGCGAACCGCGAGATCATGACCTAAGCGAAAGTCGGACGCTTAACCGACTAAGCCACCCAGGCGCCCCTCAGTTGGGAGTTTCTTGCCTCTCTTTAAATTATTTGTTCAAATTATAAAATGACCGTAGGAACTAGAATTGAGCTTATTAAGTGAACCAGACAAAAAACTCAAAGCAAGACTTTTTAAAAACGTTTAAAGCCATTTTGGAGATTATTATTCATTTTGATAGGTTTGTGAGAAAGGGAACAGCAATTCTTCTGGAAATTTCTCAGTAAAATATAGATCCTTATCATTGAGAGAAAAGACTCCCGTGGGCTTCCTGTAAGTCTGTGAGCTTAAAGATGAAGAATTCTCAAGAACCCCACCCACCATGTGATTCTGTGGGTCTGTGGCTTGCCCTCCACATTTCCAAAAACTATTTCAAAACCTCAATAAGTAAGATGTTATTTTAAAATGTGAGAAAAGTAATACAAACCTTCAGAAGAGAAAATGAGTTCTTCTCAAAAAGCAATATTCATCCTTATCATGACGTGAATGTAGGTTTTAACGATTAGTACAAAAAAGGTATGTTTGTCTTTGCTTGTCGGATCCTCCCCCTCTAATTAAAGACTATACGGTGTAGGGACTAAGAGAAAGCTACGAAAGGCATTATTACTAGTGAAATAAAAATGCACAATACACTTCCAACTTCCTGAATTAAATTAGTTAAGCCTCATTTTTCTCTTGAAGAGGATGATTTCAAATTAGTGAGTTTTCCTAAGATGTTTAAACAAGCAATATGTTAAATGAACCTAAGATACGGTTTGGCTACAGGGGGAGGCAGCGTCTCTAAATGATTACTGTGGATCTCGGTTAAATGTCATGTTCTCATGTCACATGCGTTTAAAAATATATTGATTGTGTCTTGTTTTCCAGGGGACCTTGAGGGAAAAGTGAAGTGGCCTGACAATCACCAAAAATGTAGACATCTACACGAGATTATAGTGTGGCCTCCACTTTGGGATGGAGACCAAAGGCTTTTCATCCCAGAGGTACAAAAAGGATCAGTTAGGGCTCCTGGCCCTCCCCAGGAGTTTGGTACGTAGATGGAAGTTGTTGAACGGGTCATAGAAAGCCCCCCGCCGCCCACTTGAATAATAAATCTAATTTTATGAACAAGAAGCAAGGCCTTCATCCACGTGGCATTGTATGTGGAAGTCTGACATCATCAGACATTTTCGGGGTGGCCCTTCTGAGCGGTTTTCCATTCTTGCCCATTCCCAGGTCCGTCTTCTAGCATTTCCAAATGTTGCAAACCTAGGCAGAATGTGTTGCCCCGGTTCCTGGAATGTGCTCTCTTTCAATCACTAGCAATACGTCTGTGATTTTCTCTCCTCGTTTAGTCTGAGACACTTTTAAAGAACACATGGCAGAAAACATCTTGTCACCAACGAACAGACACCTTCTCTCTGAAGGAAAATTAACTCTTGCAGGTCAATAGCGGCTTCCTTTAAGAATTCAGCTTCTTTGGGGGGGCCTGGATGGCTCTGTCAGTTAAGCGTCCGGCTTCAGCTCAGGTCACAATCTTGCGGTTCATGAGTTTGAGCCTCACGTGGGGCTCTGTGCTGACAGCTCAGACCCTGGAGCCTGCTTCAGATTCTGTGTCTCCTTTTGTCTCTGCCCCTCCTCCACTCGTGCTCAGTCTCTCTCTCTCTCCCTCTCTCTCACTCAAAAATAAGGAAACACTTAAAAATATATTTTAAAATTCAGCATCTTGCTATCTTGTAACTTGTCCAATCATTGCTAATTGCAGTCTGCGAAGAATTGTATTTGCTCTGTATGGACAAGTGGATGGAAGAGGTGAATCAGAGCATCCTGGGGACTCACGCAGTCCCTGTCGTGATCCAAGACTTCACTGTGTAACTAGCCCCAGGCCCTCCCTTCTCTCCCTGTGAAATGGGATGACCATGTCTATCTCAGAAGGTTGCTGTTAAAATGAAATAATATACATGAAGAGCTTAGCTCATGGTCTGGAATAAAGTAAACATTCGATGTCACCTGTTATCATCATCATTTTACTCCTCCAGTGACTGGGGCGGCCACCCTGTCCGTGTCGATTGGGACTGTAGTATGTAATACACGCGGCACTGGGTAGAGACCATTGGAGAATGTAAAGTAATCGTTCCGTATAATCCTCTCCCTCCGGCTGGGAAGCTCCGCCGTAATGAGCAGACCTGCAGTGTGAGTTTGGAAGAGCCAAGAGTCCATGAAGCTGGAACGCCGGGGTGGTCTGTGGGGCTGGAGGGGGGCTTGGGGGCAAAGAAAAGATAGAGGTCCCTGGAAGGACAAGTCAGATGACATCCCAGGTGACGAGCAGAGCAGGAGGAAGGGGCTTGGAGGCGGAAGCCACCCGTCAGATGGAGGCTTTAGCAACGTGGTTCGAGGTCCAGAGGGCGTGCCCCAGAGGCTCACTGCCGTGCTCACTTCCTGGCTCCGCCTGTTGTGCCTGTGTGACCTTGGACCCTTACAGCAATCCTGCCACACTGCATTTCCTCCCTTTGTTGTGAGGATTCAATGAGCTAATGGATGGGTAGGCGCTTGAAAGAATGGCTGGCACCGAGTCGGCACTCAATAATTACCCTCATGATCAGAAAGGGCTGCCAGATTGAAATAAAATTTGCATTCATTCATTTATTCGTGTCTGCACGGACTTGATCGGCCACCTGCTGTGTGTGAAGCGCTGCAGGATGTGGGGTTGCCTATTTACGGTCATGTGATCCAGGGGGCGGTGCTGGGCACTGACTCCTTATTGAATATACCTGGTGGAGAATCTGCTCTGGTTTAGGGAGAGCACTGGGTGGCAATGCCCACCTAGCAACTTAGCAACTGCCATCTAGACAAGATAGATGTGCCCAGCAGTTGGTCTCAAGGGGCTGTTTTATGCATTTCCTCCTTCCAGTGAGTTATGCAGAGAAGTTACACTTCATCCCATATTATAGGTAAGGAATGTGAGGCTCAGGGAGGTTCTAGAATCATCCTCAAGGGCACGTGGCTGGTTAAACGGCAGAGGCCAGACCCCAGCCAGGCCACCTCAGCATCAGAGGCTTCCAGAATCCCACCTTGGAAACCAAGCAGACGGACGGAGCCAGGACACTATTGGCAACACGAAATCACTGAGCTCCTGGACAGCAACATGATAGGTTTAAAAGGCTGTTGAAGAGTTGTCAGAAGCGACTCACACAACGGCGTGGAGGCAGAGGAAGGCACCGGAGCAGAGACATCGGAGCAGTTCCTGGGGAAGCAGGGTGAGGTGAGAAGAGGCAGGCTTGGGCTTCTCAACTGTTCTTGACCTGCAGGCCACACCCACTTCTGAAAAGGTGACAATTTTCATTTTCTTTGATATTATCACCACTTTAAAACTAATTATACGTTGTGGCAAAACCCAAGTAATGAAGCAAAACCCAGCTCTGTGCTCACATATGTGCCTTTCCCTCCCAAATCAGCCTCCACCTAGAATCAGAGACTTTCAGGAACCCCTGCCCTCTATCTACCAACTTCCCAACACTGTAAGGGACACTGACCTATCCTAAAATGTCAGAAATGCCCAGAAATAGAAGAAGATAAATGTGAGAGATATTTCACAGGCAAAAGCAGGAAGACCTTTTGATTGATAAAGTGGGTGCAGAGGGAACGAGTCGAAGACATCCCCAGGTGTCCTCATGTACGTGCTGCAAGGCTGGTTGAACAGCACTGAGGGTGGTGGAGAGAGTGGGTCAGAGAGTCAGTTTTGAGGCTCAGGTGTGGGCATCATGAGAAGTCAGGGGGGAGCTGGAGGAACATGCCCATGACCATGTGTCGGGGAAGAGCCATGTGAAGATGTGCATTCACACATCATGCGGGATCGAGGTGTTTGTCGTGGAAACCTATGTGGGGGCTGGCCTTGCCATCCCTGGGAAATAGCTTCTTCTGTGTGGTCCAGGGTGAGTCACCAGTGTGTCTCCCTTCTAGTGGGTGGGAAGGGGGACAGGAGATCAGAGCCTGCTGCTTAAGTATTTGACCCAGAGGCTGCACACTTTTGTTCACGTTCATTGGTCAGATTTAGTCACGTGGTCATATTTAACTACAAGGGAAGCTGGGATATGTAGTATTTATTGGAAATGGATATGTACCCAATCAAACTCAGAAGTTCCATTACTACAAAGGAGGGGTGAATGGTTTTTGAGGGACAACCAGCAGGTGGTCTTTGCCACAACCTGATTTGCAAAAAGGAAGTTTCTATTAGTGGAGGAATACAATTTTTAAAAAACATGCAAGGACAGGGGCACTTGGGTGGCTCAGTCGGTTAAGCATCCAACTTTAGCTTGGGTCATGATCTCACGGTTCATGGGTTCAAACCCCACATCAGCCTCTGTGCTGACAGCTCGAAGCCTGGAGCCTGCTTCAGATTCTGTGTCACCCTCTTTCTCTACCCCTCCGCTGCTCATGCTCTGTCTCTCTCTGTCTCCCAAAAATGAATGAATGTTAAAAAAAAATTTTTTTTTAAATATTCAAGGACAAGGGCACCTGGGTGGCTCAGCCGGTTAGGCATCCGACTCATGGTTTCAGCCTAGGTCATGATCTGGTGGTTAGTGAGATCGAGCCCCATGTTAGGCCCTGTGCCGAGTGGGGAGACTGCTTGGGATTCTCTCTCTCCCTCACTCTCTGCACCTCCCCACTCATGCTCTCTGTCTCAAATAAACATTTAAAGGAATATGTTCAAGGACTATTCCAAATTTAATAAAATATCTGATATGCAAATATAGTCTTTCCTCTAAACATAAAAGAGGGGAGGAAATAGAAATGAAGTGTAAATATTTTATCTACCAACTTAAACTTAAGCCACATTGTTTCCTTGGGTTACAGCACATGAGAAAGAACTTCTAAACTAATGTTAATTAATTAACTTATTACTTAATTTATTTACTTATTTTTCTTATATTTACTTTAAGCATATGTTACATCTACCTCTGAATGGACTGCCTTTTCCTCTGAAATCATTTATATTTAACCATTTCTTTTTCTAATTTCTAAGGGATAGAGTAGAATAGGGAGGGGAATTCCTCACTTTATTATTTTTTTAAGTTTATTTATTTATTTTGAGAGAGTGGGGGTGGGGGAGAGTGGGGGTGGGGGAGAGAGAAAGAGACAGAGAATCCTGAGCAGATTGTGAATTGTCAGTGCAGAGCCTGATGTGGGGCTCGATCCCACAAATGTGAGATCATGACCTGAGCCGAAACCAAGAGTCAGATACTTAACCAACTGAGCCACCCAGGCGCCCCTCCTCATTCTCATATTTGATTTCTCTTCTACCACTATCCTTTTCTTAGGGAAAAATATAAAAGCCCATTTGCTTTAAGTAACTATCGAAAGTGCTGTCAGAAAAGTTTATAAATACAAAGCTACATGAAGAATATTTAAACACGGACAGACACACTACAAAACTTGAGAGACAAGTCACTTTAATCACTGTCCTAATCAGCTAGGGCTGTCATAACAAAATACCACAGACTGGGCAACTGTAAGAACAGAAATTTATTTCTCACAGTCCTGGAGGCTGAAAGTACATGATCAAGTTCCCGGTCAAGTCAGTGTCGGAAGAGGGTTCTCTCATCAGCTTGCAGATGGCCCCACTCTCAGTGCCCGCATGTGGCAGAGACAGAGGGCTGTCTTGTACCTCCTCTTCTGATGCCATGAATCCTACTGGATCAGGGCTCCACCCTTATGTCCTCACTTCATCTTACTTACTCCTAATATAGCCACATTGGAGGTGAGAGCTTCAACATATGAGTGGGTGGGGGACATCATTCAGCTGATGACAATAATAAAATGGCTTTTTTTCTAGTCACGTATACCTTTGTCAATGACCACCCAGATGAGTCAAGAAACAAAAATATTGCAAGTTCCATCAGTGGATAGATGTGTCCAAGGCTTAGCCGAAACCGTTGCAAATACCAACTGAGTTACCTTAGATCCACATGAAATCCATCACAAATACAAAGTCTTTAAAGTCGAAGCGCGGGCTCACATCAAGCCTCCACTTTAGGGAGAAATACATTCAACAGTAATGCAACTTTCTGATTCATATGATTAGAGTCTCCTAAGCTGTGAGCCTCATATGCCCTGACACCACCCCGTCTTGTTTTCTAAGGGATTCTTTGATTTAAAAAACAACACCTTCTGCTGACTGTTTCCAGCCCCAATTTCACCTTCTTTTTTTTCCTCAGAAAGCACAAGACTCCTAGATGTTTATATGTTTCTCTCTGATGATTTCCTCTTAGTTACAAAACCTAATTGCAATGAAAAGGCAAAGTGCTGCTATTTCTCAATCAGTCTGTTAAATAAGGTTAGAAATATTTTTAAATAAGTTGTGTTAAAAATCTAAAAGATTGTTATATATAAGATTGGATTTCGCCCTCTAGAAAGAGGAGGCATTGTGAAATAGAGGCTTTTTGTAGCCCTACAGCTCTGAACTGAAAAACAATACCAAAGGCAAATTACATTTCTTAAGGATATCAAAGAATGTGCATGTTTTTAGAACGACTCAGTCTGTATACTCATGAGGTAAGTCCCAGAAGCCTGGGTTTTTCGCCTGACCTGCTTGAGCAAATGAAATCAAACTACTTTCCTCCCTGGTGGCCTCTGTCCACCATGGTGGCGTTGCCGGTATAGTGCTGAGCATTAGTGTCTCCCCAGGTTGTCAACCATGGCAAAGGTGGCTGGTGGTCAGGGTGCTTCCCAAACTGTCTGCTGCCCCGCGCTGAGGTGATCTCTGTCCCTTGTTCTGATTTGAAAGCTCACATAGCTCCTGAGAGATGATGATTTGAGAGCCGCGGGTGGGAGGGAGTCCTGAGTTCTTGGTGTCACTTGTATATAAAAACTGCAGAAGCCAGTAGCTGGGTAGCTGGCATCCCAGACAAAATGCATGTGCGGCTAATGCCACAGAATCTCTTCTGAGAACAGGGATTCTTCCCATCACGTACATATTGATGGTTACCGTGATGGTTGTTGTTATCGCACATTAAGCCATGGGCCTCATGGTCTGCTAAAGGCTTTCTGATCTCCTACTTCGCAGTGCACCCCCTGAATGATGTATGCAGGTGGTAGCGGGAGGGGGCCTCCTTAAAGGCTCTCAGACACCTGCCCTTAGAGCAAGGAGGAGGAGCTACCATCTGCCTTAGGTCCTTGGCAATGTCAAATGTTGTTTCATTCCGCCTCTTTACCGAATGACTGGCTTTTCACAAATGTAAGATCACAAACTAGATATTTCACATCTTTTAATAACCTAAGCTTCTGGACAGCAAATTGGTTAGTTGAGCTAAATAATTTAAGGATCCTTAAGCAATAAAATAGATAGTCATTAATCAATCTAGAATAGCTGATCGGTGTTTGGGAAGGGGACAGGTGCCACAGAATATGAAGAGTCACAATTTGAAAAGTCGGAGGTGCTCCTATTTTAAGATACCCAGACTGTCCTGTCTGAGTAAGTCAAGTCCCAAAAAATCTCCATCCCCTTCAAAAACCTTGATGCCAACAGCTTACCTTCACTTCAAATAGTGGCAGAAATGAGAGCAAGTGAATGAATGGCAGGCCATATTAACCATAAGGTAACATGTTGATTTCATGCTTCACAACTGGATTCCAAATTAAGGAATGTCACCTATTTTAAATTCCACTTTCTATTTTTTCCTCTTTGCTATTTGATGCACAATATATGTCGTGTAAATCAGTCTTTGACGTTCTTTTTAAAAAGTTCAGCATCTTATGTTCCATATCTTAAATAATTCAATGATTTACAAATTATGGGCATGGAATCTATTTAGAGTTTCGTGTTAGATTCCATGGATGGAGTTGGCCGAAATGGAGCTGAAAATCTTCCCACTCGTGTGATGGAGATTTAAATGTTTCCCAGTCGTGGACATCACCCATTATTTATACAGACAGTTAAATTTGGGGGCGGGGAATACTACACGCATGAGGCTTTAAATCACTATGTATTGGAGGGAAATCCTTTTTAAGATCCAGAAAGAATAGTTAGCTGGAGTTTAAGCAATTGTTTCTAAAAACTGATTTGGTTAAGGAGGCACCTTAGGTATGTGCATCAGTATTTATTTCCTGTTTATAGCATTATTGTCTTCTTTACTTTCAGAAACTTGGAAGCTCAGGCCCTGGTTTACTGTGTCCTTCCTTCACTTACTGCTGAGCTGCAGTAATAAAAGAGGGTGGTTCATGTACGGTACTTAATCAGCCCATTCCACGAGATAGATAGGTGGTCCAATGTATTGATCCACTCCACGTGTCTGGTATGTGCCTATTTTCATCATTCATCTTATCTGTTTGCCATCACAGAATTTTACATTGCCCTTTTTTTGGTAATAAAACATGAATCCAATTTAAACCTTCATAAAATACTGTGCCTGGTTCCTATGTGGCTATCACTCACTCTATGAACTAGTTCTGGTGAAAGTGTTGGGTTTGGTTTCTAGTGCTTGGATAACTCAATTCTACCACTTGCTAACTGTGGCTTTTTAAAGAAACGTTTATTATTTTTGAAGGAAAGAGAGAGAGACAAAAACAGAGATACAGTGTGTGAGCAGGGGAGGGTCAGAGAGAGTGAGGGAGACACAGAATCCAAAGAAGGCTCCAGGCTCCGAGCTGTCAGCACAGAGCCTGACTGGGGGGAAGGGAGGGGGTGGCTCGAACCCATGAACTAGGAGATCACGATCTGAGTTGAAGTCTGACGCTTAACAAACTGACCCACCAAGGTGCCCCAACTATGGCTTTTTTAAAGTCCTATAGCTCTGAACTGAAAAACAATACCTAAAGCAGATTACATTTCTTAAAGATGTCAAGAAAGGCAAGGCATTTGAACTTTCTCAGCCACAAATTTCTCTTGGTGAAATAGAAATATCTACCTCAGTGGGTGGTCAGGGGAATGAAATGAAATAATGCCTGTAAAGCACTCAATAAACTATTCTCAGTGTTATGATATCATTACTAGTATTATTGCTGTTATTAAAGCACTGGTTCACCGTGACATGCTTTACAAGCCCAAGATACTATAAAAGCTCTGTGGAAAGAAATATGCCAGAAATGAATATACTTTATATATATATATATAAAATACACACACACACACACGTGTGCACACATGTATCTATGTATGTATATAGGTCAAAAATACCATCTCAATAATTTACTCAAGCATTCCCCGAGCGTCTCCTGAGAACCAGGCACCCTGTGGGTACCCTGGAGTAACAACGACAAATGAGAAACAGCCCTTGTTTTGGGGGGAGTCCTCAGACCAATCAAAGATCAATAGCAAATCCTGTTGTGAAAGCCCTGGGACTCAGTTTCCTCAGTGCTAGGTGGACGGCCTTAGTGTTAAGAAGGAAGCAGGTGGTTCTGCCATGTGCACAGGCTCCTAGGAGACCAGCTGAAGCTAGGCTGGTGGGGGAGGGGGGGTGGGGGGGCGGGGAGGGGAGGGGAGGGTGTTCACCTTTCTGTCCTAAGAGAGGAGCAGAAGAAAAAGGGAGCACTACCTATGCTCCCCAGTTCTCAAATCGGCAGCCAAGCCCAGAGCTTTAATGACAAGCACAGGGTCACAGTAAACATGACTGAGCAACATGACACAGTGAATGAATGAAAACACACCTGAATAATAATAATAGCAAACAATGACAGTGTTATGTTATATAACTAAGTTACACATGGAAATGCTTTGCATGTTAACCCATGGGTGGAAGCAAACTCCCTCCAAGGGCAGAAGGGCTCTACCAACAGGAAACATTCATCCAGAACCCGAGCCTTCTGCCCTCTTCGTCTATGCTTTTCACTTCCGCTAGGATTGGCTGAAATGTGACAGGGGCAGGCTGAAAGGCCTCATACTTGAAATCAACTATGACCTCATGGGAGAAGTACTTTTGTTTGTTTGCTTAGTTTACTTTTTCATGGGGAAAAATGTCATTACCAGAGGCCATCCTAGGGCAGGAACTTTTTGTCACTCCAGTGGTTATAGGCAGAAGGTGGTATATGGGCTCGAGGATGGGAAGCTGTCCAAACCCCAAAGGAAGAGTGGAAGCTGCTTAGGCTGAGGGCTCAGGTTAGTGTCGGCCTGCCCGCATTAAGAACTAGACTTCCTGGGAAATCTTATGTCACTGGATTACCTTGGGAGATGCATGGTTTTTCTCCTCTGTTCCTTTTTTTCTTTTAAGAAAAACAAGCACGGGGCACCTGGGTGGCTCAGTCAGTTAAGCGTCCGACTTTGGCCCAGGTCATGATCCTGCACTGTGTGTCAGGCTCTGTGCTGACAGCTCAGAGCCTGGAGCTGGCTTCAGATTCTGGGTCTCCTTCTCTCTCTGCTCCTCTCTTGTGCAACTCTGTTTCCCCAAAATAAATAAACATTAAAAAATTAAAAAAAAAGGAAAACCAATATCTTTTTTTAAAGCTATACTTCCACCATTTTTTGTCATTTTCTGATTTGTTGCTATCATCTCATCTTATATACATACATATATATTTTTTCCTCATTCCTCTCATCTATTATCTTGACAGTCCAGATACAGTACATGAACCAAAATAGCTGTAGAATGGGAAAAAATAAAAGGCTACAAAAAAGAAGAGATGGTGCTTTGGAGTGATTGACAACCTAGTTTCAAATCCTGGCTGTATCATTTACAAGCTGTGTGACCTTGGGAAAACTAAATGGGCTTCCTTATTCATAAGTAGCAACTAGATGACTTATTAGTTGCTGTGTGGTTTAAATGATACAAAGAGAAGAAAAAAATAGCACGGTACCCAGTTACAATAAGGATTTAATAAATGGTGTCCGTTACTGTATTAGTTATCATTAATTGCTAGATTAGAATGTCAGGCCAGAAAAAGGGCAATTCTTGGCCATATATTTTCTGTCCTCATTTTATTTTACAGGCCTAGAAGGACCAGTTCCTTTGGCTTATAAAGTCCCCTTGTTACCCCTCAAGCAGATGAGGGAAACTCTGAATACTTGAGAACTACAGTTACAATTTTTGAGGAAAATGGATTCCAAAATCCAGCCAAGAACAACCACCTGATCTGTAAAGCCTCACTCACTACAGAGTGAGATTTATAAGGAGAAAAGCCAAGGAATAAAACAAACCCAGTCAGATCTTTTTACTCCAGAAAGCCATTTTAATAGTCCTCCCATCTCAGAGAAGCTGACAGAATTTCATGACCTTAACAGACTTTGTTGTGGTAGAATTTAGGAATTAGGACATTTAGACTGCTATGAGTATTACCAGTGATACTAGAATAGTTCTTGTAGTTAAGAAAATGTAAGTCTGGTGGCACCTGGGTGGCTCAGTTGGTTAAGTATCTGACTCCAGATTTCAGCTCAGATCATGAACTCCTTGTCATGAGGAGCTCAGCACGGAGCCTGCTTGGAATTCCCTCTCCCTCTCTCGCTCACCCTCCCCCACAATTATGCTCTCGTTCTTTCTCAAAGTAAATAGGCATTTTAAAAAAAAGAAAGAGGGGCACCTGGGTGGCTCGGTCGATTGAGCATCTGACTTTGGCTCAGGTCATGATCTCACTGTTCACAAGTTCAAGCCCCACATGGGGCTCCATGCTGACAGCTCAGAGCCTGGAGCCTGCTTCAGATTCAGTGTCTCCCTCTCTCTCTCTGCCCCTCCCCCACTCACACTCGGTCTCTCTCTCTCTCCCTCAAAAATAAACATTAAAAAATTTTTTTAAATAAAAAAGAAGGGAGGGAGGGAGGGAGAAAGAGAGAGAGAGAGGAAGGAAGGAAGGAAGGAAGGAAGGAAGGAAGGAAGGAAGGAAGGAAGGAAGGAAGGAAGGAAGAGTCTTGCATTTGCTCTGATTTTGAAATGAGACCAACCTGCTCTGGTGAGTCTGAGTTAAACCCACACATTTCATCGAATACAAATAATGACAGGGGACACACATCAGCTTATGAATAAAATAAAAGTCAGGAATAATCAGTGCCCTCCTCCTCTCTGAAGTATTCCTTGGTATGACCAGAAAGAAGAGAAGCCTGGTTTGGTTTTTATTTGTTCCTACACATAAATTAACTGTATGGGCTGCAGATGTTTACTCCTTGTGTTGTATTAATTATTCAAGGAAGAAGCTTTGATTTTAAAAGCACCTGCTACATTAAAAACATCAACACAACCCAGAATTGCTCTCAGTATCTCCTGTCATTTCTCTACGAGCCCAGCTAGCAAATGACAGGACAGACGGTTTCTTTTACAAGCACAGAAACCACACCAACACTTCTTTTTGTTTGTTTCACATTTTCACATAATCTGTGGATGCTGAATTTTGAGTCACTTTTTGGCCTGTCATGAAGCACTCAGGCGGACTTGGTATTTCTGCTACATCTTACAACCCTTGCTTTGATGTGATTTCACTTTAAATAAAACAGTAACAGTTTAAACAGGAGTGGGTGGAAGTGAAAGAAACAATAGTTACATTATTTTCCACCTTTTTATTATATATACTTTACATACACACTATCCACCTAAGATGCTAAATTTCTTCTAGAAGGTGCTCATTTTCCATCACAGAAGCCATAATTGCATTTCATCAAGCCATAGAAGCCGTTAGCTAAGAAAGGGTTCTCATTTAAGTGGGCTCTATTTGGGCGTGGTAGTGAACTCTTGGCCTTGGAATCAAATCTTTTTTTTTTTTTTTTTTTTTGGTAAGCTACATAAACTTCCCATATTCATTAAAAATACTCAAAAAGTCTAGGTGCTTGTACCGAGAAACTGGGTTTAGTAGTAAATGATTTCTTTTGTCTTTGTAATCTTTTTCTAGTGTTTGGGCTGAGAAAACCTTTCCTTGTACAACAGGAAAACAGGTATCGACAGTGTGTATAGCAGCGTTCTTATTGCAAACCCAAAGAGAAAATATTAAAATATGCATCTCAGTTGTACAGGTTTTGATTCTCAGACCTGACATAAGGAGAAATCTCACCCAAGCCTCTTAAGTAGTGGGAAATGGGAAATTTTGTATATTTCCTTCACCCGCTTTGGGAAGGGCAGAAGTTAAGAGGGGCAGGATGTGGACATCTAGTCTGTATCACACTCAGAAATCTCTAGAGCTGACCATTTCCTTACACTCACCGAGCAGACACAGCCTCCTTCGTTTTGGCCTGGAGCAGAGCCTCCAGGGGCCTGGGAGTTCCTCAGTTTATATAAAACAATGGGAAAGAATCGCTTTGGAGTGCATGATTGACTTTCAACGTGTTCCAATAAATTTTCAAAGTCCTGGTATGCAAACTATGTGATCAGCTTAAATGAGAGGTCACCACAATCATGAACCACCTTTGAAGATATGCCAGTGTTAAGAAAAGAAAAGTTGCCAGTGTTGACACAGCTGTGGAAGTGAGAAGCCGCTGCCCGCCTCCGGTTTGTCTTGGAAGTTTCCTTTCCCCAGGAAGGTTTCCGTCATAGCGACAAAGTAGCCAGTTAATGCAATGTTGCTTTCCTCTTAATAACCCCATTTCCTGGGTCACCTCCCTCAGTCTGTTTTGCAAATTATGCCACTTGTTAAGAATGATTTCCATACAAAACGGAAATTCAAAGAATTCAGTTTTGAAACTATTTATATTCTCAGTGCTCATTTTTCTAGTCATCATGGACTATTATGATTCCTTGATTATTCATAACTGTTTTCCCAACTTCCATACCATACTCACGTAATCCATTTTCATAGATGATCAGAGGTGTTTATGAAAGCAAATGGGACTTATGCATATGTTTCATTAGTCTTGTTCTAAAGAGCAAGTCAATAAATACAAACGGGGGCGCCTGGGTGGCTTAGTTGGTTAAGCGTCCGACTTTCGCTTAGGTCATGATCTCGCGGTTTGTGGGTTCGAGCCCCGCGTCGGGCTCTGTGCTGACTGCCAGCTCAGAACCTGGAGCCTGTTTCAGTCTGTGACACCCTCTCTCTCTGACCCTCCCCTGCTCACGCTGTCTCTCTCTCTCTCTCTCCTAGAAATAAATAAAAATATTAAAAAAAAAATAAATAAATACAAACGAAAATATTAGCCCAAATATGTGAAAAATCATAACACTATATATGTAATTATTATTATTATTAATTATTATTATTCTTAACAGAAAACATGGATGGCACAAATAACAGCAGCAATCTCTTGCTTCATCAAGAATCAGGAAACCAAGAAAATATCTTTGTTTACATTGCCTGCAGATTCTTCTGAAATGTAGACACCTAAACCAAGTGGTGCATTTTTTAGACATTAGGAATAAGGTATTCTTTCATTCAAATTTTTGTTAACACTTATTTAGTGATGAGCTAGAAAGAAATGTGCATTTTAAAGGAGTGCGAGAATTTGAGCTAGGAAAATCCTCAGTAGAAAAGAAGAATGACCACAACAAATTTGCATTCAACAAATTTGAACTCTGAGGACTTTTGTGGCAGGTATATACTGATACCTTATGTTTCGAGGGTATGCAAGAGGTTTGAGTGAAGTATGGTGCTACTAGAATTTGTAAAGGGTGAAAGATCAGATGAATGAAGTGTCAGAGGAAAACAATGCCCAATGCTTGTGCTCAGTATGAATTCTAGCATCTCACTTAGTATACTTCAGTAACGAAACCAAATTTCCTACATGGTTTGTACATCAGTCTTAACTGCTTTACAGTCCTACCTCACATGCAATGATAATTGTTTTTTAACTTTTTTTAAATGTTTATTTATTTTTGAGAGAGAGAGAGAGACAGAGACCAAGAGCACGCACATGCACAAGCGGGGGTATGGCGGAGAGAGAGGGAGACAGAATCCTAAGCAGGCTCCAGGCTCTGAGCTGTCAGCACAGATCCGGACGCAGGGCTCAAACTCATGAACCGTGAGATCATGACCTGAGCTGAAGTCGGATACTTAACCAACTGAGCCACCCAGGTGCCCATAAAGCACAATGATAATTCTGATACATACTTTGATTGCTCTTTTAGCACATTTAACAATCAATAAGGTCTATACTTAACAGTTTTTAAATTCCTATTTGCCAGCACTTTACTTGCCTCAGGTATACTTAGTAATACCCTAAATTGGAAGAAGAAAATCCCAGAGATTAAATTCCCTTAAGGAAAAAAAATCCAAGTTTCACCAGTTAACACTTTTACATGGGAGCTTTTCATAGAAATAGTTAAGATAGCTTTCTCTGAACCTCATTTTTTGAAGAACGATGAAGTTTGTCATAAAACCACTTTCTGGTTTTGAGTGGTGTGTGTGTGTGTCCATGCCAGCACAGAACAGTCAAGTTTATTTAGCAGGAAGGACTTGAAATATCATTAGAATTTTTATCAAGAAAGGCAGCTTGAATTATTATATTGTCATGGTGGAATATACTATTAACTTCATTTAAAAAAATAGTCCTTATAGTCAGATTATATCAAAAGGAAATCCATATGGGGCACCTGGGTGGCTCAGTCGGTTAAGCATCCGACTTCGCTCAGGTCATGATCTCATGGTTTGTGGGTTCGAGCCCCGCATAGGGCTCTGTGCTGACAGCCAGCTCAGAGCCTGGAGCCTGCTTCGGATTCTGTAACTCCCTCTCTCTCTGACACTCTCCTTCTCACGCGCTCTCTCTCTCTCTCAGAAATAAATTAAAAAAAACAAATCCATAAATTTTAATTTCAGGAATGGTAACTTCTGCAATTTTCAAAATGGAAGTATTAAAATTTTCAATTTGGGCTGTAAGATAAGCGATACGTTAACTGATCTCCTTAAGTTGGAGGATGAGGTAGAGAGGATGGTGCTTGAGGAAGTCATGAGGTGCAGCTAATTCTTTGAGGAAAACAGATTTCACCATGTAAACCAGGTAGGACGCACAAGTGCAGCATGAAGGCTCTTGTCTGAGGACCACACATGATTAGAATGGAGGGGCACAGTCTCTATATAATAATCTCAGATATTTATTAACAATAAGTTGAATTAAGAGGAGAATCTGGAAAGCAATAACTACTGTTAATGCCTAAGAATAAATAGGGAAAAAAAGGCAAAGAATGAGGACTAGACTTCAGGCAAGTTCCTAGAGAGGGAACCTGGATGGAATTGAGAGCAATTATGTCCAGGAGAAGACAACACAGATTTATGCAAGAGAAGATTTAGGAAGAAATATCTGACCAAAAAATAATATACATATTTTTTTAGAAAACAAAATCAATGATCATCTTCTAGGAATTTTTAATTATAAACCAACCCAAGAGGAAGGCAACAGGGACTAAGCAGTCTCTCAAGATTCCTTTTAAAATCCTTTGTATAAAGAACTAATTTACCTTTACATCTCATTGCAGGGAAAGACTGAGTAAATTAACATCAAGATGTAAAGCAGCTAAAGAATACACTAGATGCAAAGAACTATTAGTATTCCCAGTTCATCACAGCACCATTCACAATAGCCAAGTGGGAAAACCCTTAATGTCCATCAACAAATGAACAGATAAAGAAAACATGGCAAGTACATGCAATGGAATACTATTCAGCCTTTAAAAAGAAGGAAATTCTGCAATGTGCAACACCAGAGATGAACCCTGGACATGATGCTAAAAGAAGTAAGCCAGTCACAGAAGACAAATACTGTATGAGTCTACTGACACGGGGTATCTAAAGTAGTCAGATTCACAGAATCAGAGCAGAATAGTCATTGCCAAGGGAGGAGAAAGTGTCAGTGAGGTGAGATGAGGAAGCTCCAGAGGTCTGCCTTACAATACACTTAAAAGCTGTTGGGGCCCCTGGGCGGCTCAGTCAGTTAAGCGTCCGACTTTGGCTCAGGTCATGATCTCACGGTTTGTGGGTTCAAGCCCCATGTCAGGCTCTGTGCTGACAGCTAGCTCAGAGCTTGGAGCCTGTTTCAGATTCTGTGTCTCCCTCTCTCTCTGACCCTCCCCTACTCACGCTGTCTCTCTCAGAAATAAATAAAAACATTTTTAAAAATTAAAAAAAAGAATGGGGCGCCTGGGTGGCTTAGTCAGTTAAGCGTCCGACTTTCGCTTAGGTCATGATCTCGCGGTTCGTGGGTTCGAGCATCGCGTCGGGCTCTGTGCTGACTGCCAGCTCAGAGCCTGGAGCCTGTTTAAGAGTCTGTGACTCCCTCTCTCTCTGACCCTCCCCTGCTCGTGCTGTCTCTCTCTCTCTCCTAGAAATAAATAAAAATATAAAAAAAATTTAAAAAAAATAAAAAAAGAAGCTGTCAAAGAGGGTAGATCTCATGTTAAGTGTTCTTAACACAATAAAATTAAATTTTAAAAAGCATATGCTATATAAACTGAAGTTCTATAAAGCTCACAAAAGAACATATATAACATACAATCTAGCAAGTTCTTGAGGATATACACATTAAATTCTTCAGAGGGAAGCACATCAAAATAAAATGAAAAAAAAAAAACCACACTTCTGGAATTTTGGTTCCCAGGAAAAACACAGTAATAAACGATGGTACACTGAGCCTTCAGAAAAGTGTCTTTAAATGGTCACCTGGATACTAAGCGTAGATGAACAATGAAAGAAGGAATTACTTTAATATGTTTTAGTATTTCTTTGTAGTTTTGTTAATTCTTCATAATAATGAACGGAATGAAAAGGGAATGTCTTAAGCAAAATGGCTTTCATAATTTCTCTTGCAATTATGGGCTTTATTCCTAATTCTAAATTGAACATCAAAAGCATACCCAAAGTCTTCATCCATGTGCAAAGTTCTAACAATCTGTAAATAAGTACTAAATGGTTAATATTTGGTATTCTTTTTATTTTTATTTGAGAGAGAGAGAGAGAGAGAAAGAGAGAGAGAGACAGAGTGCCCGCATGAGCTGGGGAGACGGGCAGAGGGAGAGACTCTCAAGCAGGCATCACATTCGGTGAGGAGCCTGGTGTGGGGCTTGATCCCACGACTCTGGGATCATGACCTGAGCTAAAATCAAGAGTTGGAGGCTCATGAGAAACAATGAAATCTGGCCATGTGTAGCAACACGGATGGACCTTGAGGGTGTTATGCTGAGTGAAATAAGTCAGGCAGAGAAGGACAAATATCATATGTTTGCACGTATAGGAGGATTAGGAGGAACTTAACTGAGGAACAAGGGGGAGAAGAAGGGGGGAAATGGTGGGGGAACGGGAGAGAGGCAAACCATGAGAGACTCTTGAATGCTGACAAAAACTGAGGACTGATGGATGTGGGGGGGAGGGAGGGATGGGCATGGAGGAGGGCACTCGTGGGGATGAGCACTGGGTGTTATGTGGAAACTAATTTGACAAACTATTTGTAAAAAAAAAAAAAAAAAAAAAAGAGTTGGATGCTCAACCGACTGAGCCACCCAGGTGCCCCATGTACTCTTTTTTTTTAAGTCGACAAAATAATTTACAGTCACGGAATACATCTACTAGAAAGAAACATTTTTTTAATATCATCTTTAACAAATTAAAAAAAACAAAATCAACAATTCAATAAGGATCCTTCCATTTTTCTTTATACAGACGTGAATGCTGTTGTGTAGTTTATCAGTTACATTTATCATCGATAACCTTCCACTCACTGAGTTTAGAAATTACAGTATTTTCTGAGCTAAACTCTCTCACAAAATAAGGCACAACTACATGATCACAAGTAGTAAACACAATAAAAACAATGAATCCAAAACCTAAATAAGGAAATATTCATGCAAAAGTTTCTATAGAAACTATGAATATATGATCCAGTTCAAGGAAGTACAGAATGTCATATACATAACAGCATCATGTTACAATAAATCCATTACTTCTACACAGAAAGAACTTAGCTATTTCCAATTCTATTTTATACAATTTTACATAAATTTAGTAAGTTTATGCACAATATTCACATCTGCAACCATAACAAATTGATCATTAAAATTCAGGCAAAGGGCAATTAAGACACGATAATGTGTGACACATTATAATTACAGAACACCGTTCTTCAAGCTCATGTCTAGGAATACTAAATTGATGGCACATTTAAATCTTATGGATCAAATCATCCATGGTTTTACAGCCAAAGTGCATTAAAAAAAATTGCTATAGTCAAATAGGTCATGAATATCAAAATATATGATCATAATCTGCTCTCCACTTAGAAGCTAAACATTTTTATGCAAATGCAAAGTTAAAAAAAAAAGTGGCTTCAAAGTTCTCAAAACTAGAAAATAATCTTAAAGCCTTTCTAAGAGAGATGGGAAACTAACAAATTTGGCAGTTACTATTTAACATTACTGTGAGGAGACTATCAAACTAGCTAATTCCACATTAAGAGGTAGTTGAACAAAATGTTATTTGTACACTGCATTGAGGTCTTCGTGTTTCCCTCACTTTTCTTCAAAATGAACTAATCCTATGCCAGCAGCTCTGTCTTCTTCCTATTAAAAAAAATCTGTAGGTATAGTTTATTGTACTCTAACCCAGCAAAACCTGATTTTAATTCACATTTCTATGCTGGGGTTTGGACTCTATTAACACGTGATGCCAATGGGCTTTGCATTAGAGCCAACAGTTGGGATGCGTGACCTCTAACTCTCTGATAAATAGTACCAGCAAACATCTAAAATGTAGAGCCAGTAAGAACTCAGAAGATGACTTTTTAATTAAAAAGAAAACCCTATTTGTTACCGAAACATGTTAAATTAGTGAGAGTTAATAAGCAAAAAAAAAAAAAAAAAAAAGGTTCATTTCCGATAGCACGAGTAGCCTATGGTAAATATGGTAAATTATTCAGGATCTATGAAATGAGATTTAGTTACATGAAAACCAGTGATTACTCTAACACATACGATTTTATTTGTTGTCCTCCTGAGAATTTTTTTGTGAATATGTGGGTGGGTGGGCAAGATGGGAAAAAGGCATTCAGTGCACCCGATTAGGAGATGAAGTGAACAAATACTCTAATCTAGAATCCTCATGGAGTTTTACTATCTTAAAAAAAAAAAGGCGCTGTGGATATCTGTTTTTCCAACATAGAAAGTTTCTAAGTTTCATATTAAGTTCCTTATATGTAAAAGTGTAGAATGGAGACTATTTGAAAGGCTTTACAAGTATATGAAAATGCATAAACAATTTTAGCTCAGTTTCTATTTCTTCCTTATGTGTGCTCAAGGGTGTGTGTCTGTGCAAATCTAGGGACACAGTCAAGTCCTTAATAGCTACTGACAGCAGGATTTACTTAAATGAGTTTTTAAAAATAATTAAATATCACAATCTCTTCATTTATATGTGTTACAGGTAAAGCAGAAACATAACTTTATTTCAGCATGATATCTGAAAGCAAGTGTATATTATAAACTATTGCAAATATTAACTCCCATTCTTCCTTATTCTCACCAGATGGTTACATTGCACAAATGTGTAACTTTATATTTTTCTCTAGAAAACCAATATTAATGACCTCTCTACAGATGTTTCCCAATTTGCCAAATTAATAAGACAATGATAAATTAAAGTTCAATTCCATTGTTCAGGATACAAATAAGCTAACTTTTAATTATCCTTAATTGGCCATTCTGTTTCAGTTCTGATGATAACTTTGGGATTCTAAAAAATATTTGTTTTTGGTGATCTTCTATTTTCCACCCCTTACTTCAAAGCAATTTCACAACAGTATTTTTGCAAAGTAAAAAGACTTACCAGTTAATATGGAACCCCAAATTCATAACCATTTTAAATTGAAGTCAAATTCACAACTTTCAAAAATGTTTCCCTATTAGGTAAGAAGATGTAAAGTAGAATATGTAATGTCTCCTTACCATGTGTATTCGTTTTCACAGATAAGACTAGACCGCTATCAGTTACTGGCTTTAAGATGCAAAATTATAAAACTATTACAGTGAAGCTGAGCTATGGTTGGAAAGCTTAAACCAAAAAAAGGGACGAATAGATCCATTAAAAAAGCAAACTCAGATTCTCAAAAATGCTGGAGAGACAATATGAGGGTATAATATAAAGGCTGACCTCCGAAACCTTCCTACTTCCAAGAAACCGACAATAGAACCATTATAGAATTTCTATTATTCATCCTCCAACTGGAGGGTGAGGGTGGGTAGTTTTATAGAATTCTTAATTAACAATATGTGAGATCTTAAAAATGAGATAGAAAAAGACAAAGAAAAATTGACCCTAATCTTTAAAATACAACCCCAGGATAACCATAAAGTAAGCAAACTGATTTTACAGAGGTTTTCATAAAATCTACCCAAGAGAATTTAATCAATACAATATTGTTAAAACAAAAACCATGTTCAAATTCATGGTTAGTACATATTTCAACATAAACTGTATTTAGAACACTTGAGTAGTAAATTTATAACATAACAATGCAACTGAGCTGTGGACCTATATATAAGAAAAAAAGAAAGTTTTATAGATCTGTGCATGACTTCACAAAGAGAATATTTAATATAATAATAATATAATGTGCTATTGTGCAACATATATGATGTGATAACATCACCCATGTACATGTTTGTATACTAAATTTGGGATAAAGAAGTACGCTACGGAAGTATATATTCATGTCATTTGTGAACATTGAAATTATATTTAAAAAAATACATTGCTATTTTCTGTCCAAAGTTTATTTACATTTCATTGGCTAATTCTAAACTTGGCATGAAAGCTGTTCCAGGGGTTAAATGGAAAAAAGTAATGAAAGATGAGCCCAAGTCTCACAAAAATAGAAGAGTTTTACTTGATATTGATAACATTCCAAAATATATGAAGTCTAATTTGGTCTAATATTGCAACCACTGTCCAAGTCAAATAGTAGTCCAAGACCTCTATTAAGTGCATTTATTAAAAATCTAATGCTAGCATGGTACTATTCTGAAGTTGTGATAACCCATTATCCTTGCAAGTCATTGAAACACGCATCACAGACACGGACAGGCTTCTTGGAAGAAGGAGTTAAGGCATTTTTGGCTGAACACTCGGCACAGAAGATATTTCCACATTGTCTGCAGTGATGCTGTAAATGACAAAAATTAAACAATTTCAAGCATAAAAATGACACCAAAAGTATAATGAGATACAGGCATACTGCAAACTGCACTGTGAAGGTATATTCACTTTCAAGGGATCAGTGTATTATTTAATATTATTAAATATTAATGTTTTTTAATATGTCAATTTATTCTCTTAATCTGAATGCTTTCTATTTCTCAGATACTATGCCAAACATCTGATCTGAAATTCATCACGAATTCTCAAAAGAACCTTAAGAGGCATTTAAAAAGTGATAATAAAGCACCTCTATCAGCTGAAAACCATTTCTATTTGCGAAGTGTTTCAGGCATAATTTCTTCAATAAGAATGAATATAAACTTGAAACATCACATGGTATTATTCAGAATAAGTATTTTTTAATCTCTGCTTTTTCTTTAAAATAACCCAATGATGACTAAAACACAGGAGTTAAACATATGGCCCACTTGTTCAGAAAATGATTATTCCAGAGAGTAACTCAGTAGGAAGGCAACAACTATATTTAAAACTAAAATTCAAATCCATATGCTGACCAGAAACTAGACTGCATTAAATTTAATTATTCTATATAGTTTTAAAGTTAAGCAATAAAAAGAAAATTTTCTTAATTTGTCAAACACAAGATTTTGATCATTAAAACAAGAATTGATACCGAGAAATAAATCTAGAACCACAGCAATATGAACAAAATCATTTACCCGTCTCACTGTTACTGAAAAGCCTTTCCCACAGGCCATACAGTTTTGTACTTCATTGTCTTCAGCCCACTTCCTATTCAATGCTTGTGTGTGTTTGATCTATTAGGAAAAAAAAAAAGGTGTCCATACATTATAATATTCAACATTTTAAAGAATGATGGGTAATTTCTAATTCGGTGCCCAAGTTTCACAAAATTTTGACTTATAGGCACCATGGGATAAAATTTTAAAAATCAGAAATACTTTGGTTGGCTTCCGTTGTCAAAAGTTGCTACACTCTTAAGTCTGAATGACAAAAAAAAAAAAATAAAGTCAAATTTTAATCCTCAAAGGTACTGGTAATTTCTAATCTTTGGTAATTTCCCATCCCTTAACCCTAGTGATCAATCCTTCCTATTACCCTGAGCACACATTCAGATTACTTCTTTAACATATAGTGACTCTATTCCTTGATGTTCCTGAATTTTCCCAGAACTAACAATTCATGAATGACAAGGCTTTTTAACTGATCTAACTGATCTCTGGGGTCTCTCAGACAAATTCTTTATCGCTTTTGTTCAACTATCCATAACACCTACAATACTGCTATACAGACAGTAACTATTCAAGAGTTATTTATTAAATATAGGAGATTTTTTTTTTTTAAAGACTGAAACTATGCTGCGGCACCCGGGTGGCTCAGTCGGTTAAGTGTTCAACACTTGGTTTTGGTTCAGGTCATGATCTGCCATCTGTGACATTGAGCCCCATATCGGGCTCTGTGCTGATGGAGCGGAGGCTGCTTGGGATTCTGTCTCCCCTCTCTCTGTTCCCGCCACACCCCCCCGCCCCTTGCTCATGCTTTCTCTCTCTCTCAAAATAAAAAAAAAAACTTAAAAAAAAAAAAAAAAGAAAAAAGACTGAAATTATCCTTTTCACTAAGAGTTAATTCTAGACTGAGAAGCAGCCTCACGTGCCCAGATGACCTACCTGAAGGGACTGATTTTCTCTGCCCAGCTCCTGCACCGCTGCAGTTGTATTATCCAGCTTTCTTTGCAATTCTAGTACTTTGGTTTGAAGTTTTTCTATTTCACCTTCTCCTTTAAGACATCTAGAACAGATTGCAAAGCGACCATTAATTTTTTAAAAAATTATCAAAGATCCTTCTAGAACAGAGATAATAAACTACTTTATAACTTCAAATATAATACATTAATTTCAACTATCTGATTGTTTTATGGGTTAGTTTTTAAATGGCTACATAAATACCTGTGGGATCAACGTACTTTTCTCAAGACTCTTCTATTTTAAAAAATATGGAAAAAGACAATCTTCTCATCACTTAGAATGGAAATAAACTAATTTTACTAGACATCAATCACCTTTCTAGTAGTGCTCTTCTTTCATCCTGATTATTCTGAACTGTGGCTTCTAATACTGCAATTTCACCCCGTAGGTCATCCGTCTGTTTCTCAAGCTCGCTGACTCTGCGTTGACTGGACTGCCACTCCTTCTTTACGGTGCCCAAGTTTTCATTTAACGCTGTAATCTGCATGGTAAGTTTAGCTTCATTTTCTTCATGCTTCTTCATTCCTATCTCTTTTTCTTTTATTTCGGAATGCTGAGAAAAGGAAGAACAGTGAGGAAAAAACCTATTCCAAAAGTAATGCAAAATAAATTTAAGTTAGCTGTTGAATTTAAAATACTGGCAACATAAATACTACTACTTCTTCAGGAAAGAAGGCAGGAGAATGTATTCATCTCATACTAATAAAATCGATTCCACCAACATCTGTGTTTATCTGAGCTGGCTCAAAGGCCATAATGCTGAAATGATGGTTAGCAAGCCTCTTAGAAGAGCAATTAACATAAAGCAATTTTTCCTTTTCTCCACTAGAGCAGGGGAAGAACACACAGTTAGGGATAGCAAGATGCCCTCGACACAACGTTGGCATCTTTAGTCTCAAAATCCACATGCACCTTTTTCCTCTATCAACCTGCCAAAAAAACAATTACAAACCCTTCAAATCACTGTGTGAACTTGAAACTGAAAATCCTCAACTAAAACACTCAGCCCTCGAGTTATGTGGGGATATTTGGACTTAATTCAATAGAGGAAAGCCAGATGCTTCCCATTCTGGCACGCACAATTTAGGGAAGGAAAAGTAGACTTTGGTCATCAAAATTCCACCATGAAGTTTCCGTTCTCCCTTATCAATGCTCACTTTGACCAAACAAATGAGTTTTTCATCATTAGCATTCACGCCACTTACCTCAATCTACATAGTTGTGGGTTTGTTTGTTTTTCTGGCACTAAAAGCATGTTTATTTTTTATGAATTATGTTTCATTGAATTTTCACTTCTATAAACCAAAATATGATTACAGACTAAAATATTTCCAGTCACATATCAGCTATTTAAACAAATCAGGTCTCCTTTCTCAATCAAAGAGTAAAATGCCAGGTAAGAGCATTTAAATCCTAACTTCTAACTAGAAAAATCCTTTCACTGGACTGACTTACAAAATCTATTACAAAACACACTCCCCACCGTTAACTTACTGACCAGTTTAGCTTCCTTCTCAGTAAATTCTTTCTTCAGCTCTTCTTCTTCCTTTTTCACCTGCTCTTTTAGCATTTGCTGGTTCCTCTTCTCCTGTTCAAGGGCTGCCTTCAGGGAATCTACTTTCCCTTGAAGCTCTAGTTTCTGCTGAATCAAAAGCTGTTTGGCATCCTTGAGATTTGTTACCTCCTATTGAAAAATAAGGTCAAAACTAAATGATCCTTTATGGTAAATATTTCAAAATGTAGCTGAAGTTTGTTTAACAGTCATAACAATATAAATGAGTTTTAGCCTCTTCTGAGATTCTTAAAGTTCAGTATTTGAAACTGGTTAAAAAGATGCAAGATTATTTACTTCCTGTTCAACAATCATTTACATTCAAGTGACACTTTACATACGTGTTTTGATTAAATTATGTGAAAAACTTCTACCCCTTATTTTCCCTCTCCTCACTTAGAAAGCATTTATTGGTCACCACTGAGGTATCACAAACTGTGTTAGGTCTTAAGGATGCAGATAAAGATGAATTATATACATTACCTGCTTTAAGAAGTCAAGTGTGTAAGAATATACTGGCATAAAGAGATAATTAATTAGAAAGGAAAATGGAAAGTATTCTGATAGACATAAAAGATGTTATTGAGAGCACTCATGAGAGAATCTAATCTTTGAGAAAATTAATAACTTCTTGACAAAGTTATTTTACCAAAGCAAATGATAGACAATTAGTTTCTTCAACTGGCACCCTAGTTACGCTTATGAAAGGAAAAATGTTCCAAACAGTTTTATTAAAAGGTTTTAGGAAGGAAAAGCAACTGAAACAGAATACCCTAAAAATCTTCATTCTAAGCATAAGCATAATTTTCTAAGTCAACAGCTCTGTTGATTATCATCTCAACAAACCTAAACTTTTAGACCTACTTTGCTTTATTCAGTAATCTGAAAACAAAAGTAACATAGTTTCAACATATGTCTCTAGATATTACGCAAATCGGGATGAGAGCAAGAGTATTTGTCAAAACAACAAAACTGTCTGGCACATAATAGGTTCTCAGTAAGATATACATACATTTTTATTTACATGACAGTCATACAGTACAGTAGGAAGAACAATGATTATCTTAACATACCTTTATGCTTTCTTGCTTGTGGGACTTGAATTCTTCACTCAATTTAGCAATTTCTTTTTCCTGTCTACACTTAATTTCCTCTATCTCTGCCAATTTAGATTTTTCATTTACTAGTTCTTTTTCTTTCAGTGACTGTAGAAAAATTAAAAAATAATTTTAAGTAAATACTTAACTGAAAATTAATGTCACAAAAATAACTGCTACTATTTATGACACAGTCTCTGCTCCTTTCTCCTAAGTTAACATGAGCAAACTATTTACCTTCACTTGCCTCTGTGTCCTTATTTATACAGTGTGAACAATTAATAAGATCTTTATGAGCATTAGTTACCATTAATACTGTGAAATGAATAGTGCCTAACCAAAGTAAGAACACTATAAAATTTAGCCAAACTATCATTTTTATTCTTATTAATGCTATTATAATTATTACTATTATTACTAATAATGTCTTCATTTAATGCACCTAGCTAGTAGTGTCATATAGTACCTAATTTAATATCTATACCTATACCAAATAGCTTTTTAATCCTTATTTGATAAGGAATAAAGGTTTAGAGAAGTGAAATAATCTATTGGAGGTATAGTCAAAATTAAACATTTCTGACTGATCTAAAGCCCTTGCAACAAAGACCTATAGAGCTATAGTTCCCTCAGAATTTTCAAAAACCAAAGCACAAATTATGAATATCATACCAGCTTTAACACCTCTACTTCCCCACAAAAACATCCCCTATTTTTTTTTTAATTAAAGAGACTTTCAGGAATTGCACAATTAAGACAGACCACAAACTTGTTTAATTATATACTTTAGAATAACATTTTATCAGCTAATGGATATATATATTTCAACTATGAAACCAAAAATAAAGTACTTCCTAGAATCTGAATTTCTCTTTCATCTAGCATCTTAAATTTTAAATGTAGTTAATCGTCATATAATACAGGCTTCTAATTTTATTTTTTAAAGTTTATTTTTATTTATTTTGAGAGACAGACAGAGAGAGAGAGAGAATCCCAAGCAGAGTCCGCACTGTTAGCATCATGGGGCTTGAATTCACAAACCGTGAGATCATGCTGAGCTGAAATCAAGAGTCGGATGCTTAACCAACTGAGCTACCCAGGTGCCCCAAGGCTTTGAACTTTATAATTCAGCATCATTTATGTAAAATACACTCCCACTTCCCCTAGAAAAAGTTGCCTCTAAATTTTAAGAATTATAAGAAGAAGAGGTGCCTGGCTGGCTTAGTTGGAAGAGCATGTGACTTTTGATCTCGGGGTCATGAGTTTAAGCCCCATGTCAGGTGTAGAAATTACTAAAAATAAAAATAATAATACATAATTTAAAAAAACAATAATTTTCAAAAAGAATTATAAGCATAAAAATTATTTCTAGACTTTTTAATCTCATTCACATATTTAAAGAATGTTATATAATAGCTGTGGAGCTACGATACCGGTTTTTAAATAACCATTGTGAAGTCTATGATGTGAAAACAATTTGTTTGTAAAAAAAGAGCAGTAAGAAAAATGAGTAGAAATGACCAGAGGGCTATTAAGAAGTACTTCCTGGCACTAACATTTCAATTACCACCGTGTTATAGCAGAAACCAGAAGTGTGACTAAGGAGAGCTACTGAAGTAAAGTGACGCCTAGATTGGGAAGTGGTCTGACTAGGTGTTTTCTAAAGAAACTACAACTTTCAGATTCTAGATTCAGTTAGAAAATGAAATACCTTTTCTTTCTGAATATCCTGTAGTGTTTTACACTGCTCCTTCAACTGCTGCTCTTTCTTTGCCAAATCCTGCTCCAGGGTAGCCGTGGCACTCTTTAGTTCCTGAATTAATTTATTTTGGTTTCCAATTTGATTTCTGTTTGAAATCAAGTCCTCCTGTGCTAGAGAAAGCTTCTCTTCTACAGACTTACAAAAAAAAAGTTTCCCCAAATTATTACGTATTTTTTTTGTTCAGCAAATTTCAACAGAAACATAACAGTTAGCATCAGTACAGTAGAAAGCAATATACTATAAGAGGTTAGCTTGTTAAGCCCTTCAGTAAGGTCATGTAAAAGAAAAAGAACACTAGACAATTAACTATCCTGCATACAAAAAAGTTTAGTGTAAAATATTTCACAAAAGTGACGGATTCCAAAACCTCTAGAAACAGTCTGCAAGTATTATTAGCTAAGTGATATTAAGCAATATCAAATAAAAAGGGATCATATCGAACACATTCGGAATATATGAAAATATATACGCATATGTCTCTTGGCATGCTGAAATCCTTAATAAATAAATAGTTTTTGTCTTGGGGGAAAAAACAACAACTGTATTTCACACCTGCAAACCTGACCAAGTGAACCAAAAGAAGAAAGTCAACCAGATATACGGGGTTCTATTTCTGAGAAGGCCATCACCCCAGCCTCTTCACTTCCTATCTATGTGGCAAAAGTAGTGTTGTCAGTTAATGCTGCCCACAGTTACTAATTGTTCTAATGCCCCAATATTTTAAGAAGCCAAAGCTGGTGAAAAGGGCAAGCTTTCTGACCCATTAGATTTCAGACTGGGGTAATATGGTAACAGGTGGCAGGAACCCTGCCACTCTCTGGTGCAACTGCAAAGAATCCGAAGGGAAGGAAATGAACTCCAAGATGCTCTTCCACCATTTGGAAGAAGTTCATCTTTCTTATTCTGGAGACACAGTTCCTTTGAAAAGGAGGCAGAAGATATAATTTAGGAAGAATTCCTGCTGGCTAGGCTTGGCTATAGTAAGCATTCGATGAAAAAATAAATAATTTTTAAATGAAGACCTTATTTAAGGGGTTTCTCAACGTTCCTTAAAGAGACAATGTATTCCTTACTAATAAACCCAGTTCAGAAGTCTTTCAGATGTAAATGAAATTTGATTTCCAGTGGCTTCCAGTAAACACTAAAAATCCTAAGGCTTCTTTTCAAAAAATCCTAAAGTCATCTAGTCCTCAGCTAGCCAAGCTGCTAGCATTAATTGAGTATACTGGTAAGGTAGACACGGAGGTAGAAGACAGTCCTTAACTTGAAGAAGCTGACTACGTAGCCTGAAAAACAGAACCACCATATAAAATGGAAGCTGTATGTGGCAGAAGAGCACTGGCTACATGCCGAATGCACAGAAAACCAGCGATTGTAAGAACTTTCCCTGAAACGTATTTACATGAGGCTCCATGGTACATGTGGGAACTAACATAAGCATCAAAAGGGGTGAGAGTGATTTCAAACAAAGCTAATAGTTTGACAAAGCCTGGCCTGTATGGTCTATAGCAACTGTTATCAGGTAACAGAGGTCCTGATCTAACACTAAAGAACACCAAGGCTTGCTAGAGGCTGAAATTAACAGCTCCCCCAATCTCTGACCACAAGAATTCCAAACTGCCCATGGTTTAAGTAATACCCAATAAAAATTTTAACTTCCAAGACCCAGCGACAAAATCTTTAAAGTCAAGCTCAAAATCTGGACTGTTCTTTTCCGAAGATACCAAGACATATTGCTCTACCTTGTCTCTGAATATTCGTCAACGCCTTTCAGTGATACACTGCCAGGTATTTTAAATATTCCTTGATCTTTCTTGTTACAGGCCATGTTATTTCCATCTGCTCAGCGTATCTTCCTTTAGGGAACTCCCCTCTCCCATCCAACAGTTTTGCGGGCCTATCTTTAACCCATTTACTCCCACTGGAACAAGCAAATCCCTGAGTAGATCAACTACCAGTCTTGACCCTGAACATCACAATCACATTACAGTAGTGTAGCTTAGTGTTCTGTGGTAGCTATTATGTTTTGTCGGCTCAACAATTTTTCTCTTCTTTCAAAATTAATTTTTAAAATTTTTATTCTTTGTTCTTGATGTCTGATTAAATGACATAAGGAATAGTATAGGCTAAAGATTTATATTTAATTCTAAACTTATTATCCTAGAATCTTACAAAATTTACATTTAAATTACACTTCTACCTTTCTTCAACAGCAAACAATAGCACACAGCATGGCCCTTTTGAAATATACAGTCAACAAACGTTAAGTATTTCATAAATAATCCAGCAGATGGGGCTAAAAGCATAGATCAAGCCAGCCCGTCTTCCACTCTACTGGTGTCTCGATGTACAAGGTCAGCCCACAGATGGCAGCCTTGACTTAGGTAGGTGTCATGTTACAAAGTTCTTGGCCTCTTCCCTTCTCTCTTAAGTGCAAGAAGATCATTCATCACTGAAGCAGAAGAAAAATAATGGCTGATAACCATCTCTTACTCTGGTCAATAAATATCATTTGAAGTTCTCTGGGAATTTACTTTTTTTTTTTTTTTTTTAAACTTCCTAAGTAGTTCAGATACTTCTCATTTTGGAAACATTAATAATACAATTTAACAATATTCTACTTCATATTTAAAAATCCTAGTGATAATAAGAGGGTAAAGGGCTATGAATAAGAAGAACTGAGATCTAACCATGGCTCTGTTATTGTGCAACTCTGGGTCTGTCACAAACCATGCCAGGCCACAGTCTTGTCTGCAAAAGGAGGCTTTGACTAGAGGACCTCGCCACGCCTCTTACAGTGGAAAAACTCCTCAGCGGCCTTGACTCTCTGCCTTTCTCTTTTTGTCCATGCATTTTTTTCATGTATAAATTTATTAGTATACAACATAGCTTTCAAGCATAATAAAAACACTTGTTGGCTTAATGAAATAATATTGAGCTAAAAGATCTAAGTCCTGTCACCATGTAATGCTCTTGAGCAGGTAATATTTCTGTTTGAAAAACCAGTGTGATTTCTATAGGACTCGTACAATCAATCATTAAGGCCCATCTCCTTGATCAGCTAACTGTCCTTCTAATACAGCCACACTCTCCATCCTTCCTGGTGCTGCCCACACCACCATCACGTGCACCTGGATCAAGTGCTAAGTCTCCTCTGCAGTCTCCACACTCAGCCCTGTTGCTCCACAGTCCATTCCCCATCCTCCGCCAGTCACTGGCCTAACCTACAGACGGGAGCACGTCTCCTCTGTGGTTCCCTACTGCTTTAACATTAAAGCCCAAACTCTTCCACAGACCTTCCCTGATTTTAATAGTGTTCTAAAGAAAAATAAAAAAGTACAAAGAATTTAAAGCTATTTAGAAAGCATAGCAAGTAAGGCATTTTCTAATTGTCAGGTGGTATTTTTTTTTATAACAATTAGCCATCATGAAAATTCTTTGCTCCAAGTTTCCTATTTCTTTGTCAAATCATTAGTCACCCTAGTTCCCTCAGTGCCCTTGCAGCTTGTCTGTATTTAGCCCTCCTGTTTCATCATGTCTCTCCCATTAATCTCTTCTGCTCCATCCTCTTGAACTTTAAGTCTAGTTCTAATCAATTCATACCCTGATTAATGGAATTTGTGGAGGAAGGGAGACAGCCTCTTCACTATCCCTACCTCTTGTCTCCCCAGGTCCAGTCCAAGCTGCCTATTAAACCTCTTCCCGGCTAAGTTGTCCAAAGCATTGTCGTCTTCATTTTATTCCTCTGCCCAGACTCTTCATTCCTCTCTCCACCCCAAAATATAAAGTTGAATGATCCTTGCTAAGCATCTAAGATACATCACAATTTGATCCCAATCTTTTAAAATCTGTCCTCCAAACACAAACCAGCATGCTTGCGACTGGTAACTGCCTCCTGGCTTTGCTCATTCCCGCTGCAGTACCTTTTCTCAAATGTGCCCCTGAGTGAAATGACCTTCCTCAGGACTCTCTATATCCAAATCCTATATATTCTTGAGCACCTGTTCAAGTCCTACATCCTTCATAAAGCCTTCCTTATAACAGCCTATGATAAAATACAGACACACAATATTTATGTTATATATAAATATCCTGCGATTTTCAACAAAATTTTTCAATAATGTACTTTAAATTAACAAATTAAAACAAAACAGAAAGGAAAGAAACAAAAAGCATAACATTTCATGATGACAAAAAAGAAAGCTCTAGCTGAATCTTGTGGGAGAGAACACAAATGTTCCATTTACCTTAGAGAACTCATACTTTAATAACACTCCATAAAAATTATTTATCCTTTTTCCATATTCTCTATTTTAATAAACATGCAACTTTAATCAAACAGAATTGTCAAAAACAAGGTTCCTATATGTTTAGATAATTACATTAAGGTTAAGTTTACTTTGAGCTACAATCTCTTAATTTTAATCGTTAGACATTGGTAGTCTTGGGAGATTGACCAATATAAAAACTAAAGTCAAAGTTATCTTTTTACACTTATAAGAAGACAGCAAAGTCTTTAGATAAGCTAATAACGGAGCAATTAATGTATTTCCAAATTATTTTACTGTTACAGATGTTATTCTTAAATGCTTATATTTACTTATATGTTTTGTTATAAAACAACACAATTTCATTTTTAAAAGCATGTTACTCCAAAAATAATAATTTACAGAAAACAAGCATGATATTCCACAAATACTAACATTCCCTTGTCCATTTGGTCTCTAACCAATCATTTAATGAATGCCTAAATAACTTACTGGGCTTTTATGATATATTTTACTATACCTTAAGATCTTGCCTTGTGGCAAGAAGTTCAGATTCCTTCCCATAGAAATCAGATTGAAGCTGTTTTAGATTTTCCTGACTTTTTTCATAGGTATTTTGTAACACTGACATTTTCTCTTTCTCTGCTGCAAGTTCCTGGGCTGCTTGTGTTGACTGCTGCTGTAATTTATTCTCCAGCTCTGTCTGGAACACACAATAGTTATTTAGAACAGCGTGCATGTCACAAAACAGTTACAAGCATAAAATGAAATCGATACAAGTAAGAAGATCCCTGAGAACAAATTAAACTGTATTAATGCCCCAAAAAAACCTTGAAGATTTACAAAATACAAAGTCCAACAAGTCCCAATTTAAAAAGCAAAAAAAAGCATTTCACTGGAAAGTCCCAAGTATCAATTTCTCAGGAGACTGAGAGTAACAACCACATTCTGATGGAAGATACAGTGCTAGATGATTTAGAAGATGATATAATTTACGGTTGAACTAAGGGAAATTTCTATAGGAAAGAAATAAAAACATCATTACTGCATTCAAGTATATCATTTCTATTCCCTGAAATTCTAGAATAACTTAGGAAATTTCTACAAGATATGTTTATTAACAACAAAGCAGAAAAAAGAAATTTTGCAAAGGTCTGACTCCTCTAAACCCTAAACTTGTCTTTAGTCTTCACGAAGACTCAGAAGATATACACAATTTATGACATGATTAAAATATATGTGTGCATAGTATGAAAACAAGCACTGGCTTTTAAAATAAATATACTAACTCAATGCAACTTCTGTTTAAACGACCAGTGACCCCTTTGTTCCAAAATCCACTGTTCATGTCCTTGTCCACAGCTTACTTTACCTCCCAGCAGAACTTAAAATAGTTGATGATGTTCCCTCCTAGAAACATTGTTCAACCTGGTTTCCAGGGCACCTTGTATTTTAGGTTCTCTATCTCATTGGTCATTCCTTCTTAAAATCTTTTATTAGCTCTTCTTCTTCTGTTTGATCTCTCAATATTGTAGGCTGCCAGGGTTCTGTTCCTGACCTTCTTTTATTCCATACACAGTCTCTCTCTACAAGATCTAAACTATACTCATGGCTTTACATATCACTTATGGACAAGTGACTCCTGAATTTGTGTCTCTAGCCCCAGTCTCTCTGCCTGAACTCTGGGGTCATTAAAACCAAGGACTTCCCTGACATCTCCATTTCAGCGACTGACAGAGATCTATCTCAAGGAGAACTCTTGATTCCTGACAGCAACGCTTCTTTCACCCAATAACTATGGCCATCTATCCACTTGCACAAGCCACAAATGTAGAGTTATTCTTTTTTTTTTTTTAATTTTTAAATGTTTATTTTTGAGAGAGAAAGGACAGACAGACAGAGCACAAATGGGGGAGGGGCAGAGAGACAGAGGGAGACATAGAATTCGAAGCAGGTGCCAAGCTCTGAGCTATCAGCACAGAGCTCAATGCAGGGCTCCAACTCACAGATCATGACTTGAGCCAAAGTTGGCCACCCAACCAAATGAGCCACCCAGATGGCCCTGTAGAGTTATTCTTGATTCCTCTTTCCATCACCTCTTATCATCTAATCTATCAGCAAGACCTGATGACTCAAACCTCCAAATTAGATTTCCAAATCATCCACTTCTAATACTTTAATTCATTCTATCATCATGTACTGTCTGGACTATTACAACAGTTTTTCAGTGCCCTCTCTGCTTGCTCTTTTATCTGCCTGTAGTCAGACTGCACCATTTTCTGCTCAAAATTCTCCAACTGATTCTAATTATCCTTAGAACAAAGTATGTCATTCTCTGTTACCTTATAATCAATAAGTTTTCATGCATATGCTTTGGCCCCTGTTTACTTCTCTGAGCTCATTTCATATTACTCTTCTTCTTTCCCACTACACTGAATCTCCATTGGTCTTCTGTTTTTAGAAAATACCAAATCTGTTCTAGTTTAAGATCTTTGCACTAGTTGTCCCCTTGGACCTTTGTATGGACAGCTCTTGTCTTTCATGTGTCAGCTCAAATCTCTTCAGGGAGGCTTCTCTGGTCACTCAACATTTAGCAGGTCTCTGTCCCATCACTGCGTTCACATCACCCTGTTTAGTTTCTTCCCCCAAGAAAGTGTGAGCCTCATGAGAACAGGTTCCTTACCTGTTCATAGCTGTATCTCCAACACCCGAAATTGTGCCATGGCATAATATACGTGCCTAATAACATTTCTTAAGTGAATGAATGGCAAATAGATTGGAGGTGGAAAAGCCTGGAGTGACTATTAAGAAGCTATTATAACAGCATAGATAAGAGAACAAAATGGCCTGGACTAAGTCTGTGGCAGTGGGAAATGAGAAATGGGAATGGAGTCAAGAGAGCTAGGGAGCAGATTGACAGGAGGTGGTGGTAACTGCCGATGGAGGAAAGGGGGCTTGATCTCCCTGTATGTTATCTCAGAACACCACATGTCACCTCCTTTTCATTCTCTCACATTTAGATTCTTCATGATGAAGAACTCCTGTATGTCTTCTTTCATCTTGAAGACTATACTGCACTTATACATTTTCTTTTATAGAATACTACTGTTTTTCTTTAACTTTTCCTCCCCCCACAAATCTAGTTTTCTTTCTCCTTAATCACCTTCATAGTTCTCAACTAAGCCCTCTGCAAAGTCTCAGTAATGACCCTAAAAGCCCTTTGGGCTCATACTTGGGCCTTCATTATCTTTACTCTGACAGGCTGATTCATTCACTTAAAAAAAATTATCAATGGCTTATTTGTCGAAGGACGCAATTCTCTGACTTTGAGAAACTCAAATCTATTAGTGGAGAAGTCAATATAAAAGAAAAACAAACAGGTTGATGCAGTAGCTTGAGAACTGCTCTAACACACGTACATTCAAACTTCCAAAGAAGGACACAGGAGGGTCATTTACAATTCATCCTTCACAAACCGACCAGTTTTTGCTCTAAAAACAGGTCTGATCATATTCCTCCCTTCTTAAAAATCTTTAATCTTCCAATATTAAAACTTTAAGGTGGAAACAACTATACAACATCTACTGCGACCTGACTTCACCTGATCCTGTAGCCTTATTCTCCCCTCGCCTCTTCACCTACCATGCACTCCAACAGCTAACCTTCTATAACAATATTTTCTAAGTCTTGCAAACATTGCTAATATTGTTTTATCTTCTTGAAATGTCTAATTTCCTCTTGTTTAACCTTTCAAAATTATAATCATCTTCAAAGGCCCAGTTCAAATGCTGGTTCCTCAGAAAGCCAGTCAAAATTTCCATTAAGTTCTAATTTTTCTCATATTTCTGTTTAAGTTCTTGTTTCATTCTCCTTTATACGTTAGGTTTTTTTTTTCTCTTTATCTACCTACTTCCTCATTAAATTATAAGCTAATTGAGAGTTGGGGGCCATATCTTATTCATTCTTAATTCTCATAATAGATTTCAAATAAAATTGGTGCAGGGGCCATTGACTCATAGCGTACTTGCAGAATTCTTGATCAGTGGCTCTCAAACAATCATATCCAAAGTGTGTGTGTGTGTGTACGCACACATGTGCATTATATAAGTGCATGCACATACATACTCATACCTATTTAAACATTATCTATGATTTTCCTATTTCACTGTGGGCCAGTGATAACTGTCACAGACCATCACTGCATAGTCGACCATGCACACTGACACCCTTAGATCACAGTTTGCTATATTTCCATTTAATAGCCAACAACTACTTTGCTTCTATATTGCCCTTGGCACAATAGTAGGTATTTTAAATACATTTTCTTAATCTTTACAACAACTCTATGATTCTATTTAGCTCAGAAAGATAACCACTTCCCTGTGACCATAACCCTAAGGTGTGTCACATGAAATTTAAATTCAGATCTGCCCAGCTACAACCTATGTCCTTCTTTCCATGCTACACTGCTTATCAACAAAACCAAACTATACTTGCCTTTCAATGATTCTGTAGTTAATATAAGTTCATTTTTTCCTAAACTTTATTTATTTTGAGAGACAGAGAGAACAAGTGGTGGGAGGGCAGAGAGAAAGGAGAGAGAATGTCCAGCAGGCTCCATGCCCAGTGTGGATGGTGAGATCTCAGAGTAGTGACATCATGATCAGATCGTGATCTGAGCTGAAATCAAGAGTCAGACACTCAATGGACTAACCTACCCAAGGGCACCCAGTTACTCTAAATTTAAAGTCTAATTTATAGCAACTGACTACCCATCCAACATTCCCCAAAATGCCCTTCTCCCTGAATTTAAAAAGTGTGCTCCTTATTTTAGCATCCATACACTAACATAAATTAACTATAACCATGGCTGAATGCTTGTGTCACCCCCCCCCCCACCAAAAGTTCATGTGAAAGCCTAGATCCACAATGTGATATTTGGAGATAAAGCATTTTTTAAAAAACAATTTTTGAAATTTATTATTTTGAGAGAGAGAGAGAATCCCAAGCAAGCTCCACACAGTGCAGAGCCAGAAGTTGGGTGCTCAGACTTATGAACTATGAGCTCATGGCCTGAAATCAAGAGGTGGATGCTTAACTGAGTGAGCCCCCAGACTCCCCTGGATGTAGACCTTTAGGAGGTCATTAGCCTTTATAAATGGGATTAAAACCCTTACAAGAAGAAACACGAGATAATCTCTCTCAGCCTTATGAGGATACAGCAAGAAAGCATCTGCCTACAAGCTAGAAAATGGGTCTTCACCAGACACTGGATATGCCAGTGTCTTTATATTGGACTTCCTGGACTACATAACTGTGAAAAATAAACATTTGTTGTTTAAGCCACCTAGTCTATTGTGTTTTTGGTATAGCAACCCAAACTAAGATAACTATCAATAAAAACATTTCCTTTAAATCTCATAATTCTTAAGGTGTCAACTAATAAAGTCATGCAAAGCACAGGTATATACATTAACCATAAAACTAAAAGAAATCATACTGTAACTAATAATTTAATTAAAAAGAAAACGTGCTAAAAATAGTTGAGCCTTTTAATTCATGAAGTTATGATGCTATGAAGATTTAGGGAATACTTGAATATGAGACTAATAGATTTGGGAGAAAAGAATGACCTCAAGACATCAAATCATACAACAAAAAATATATTGTGATAATTACACCGATTTACGATTACATATAACATCAAAAATGCCCAGGCAAATTTGTCTACTTATTTATTAGAAAATTACTCTTTTGTAAAGTGGCATAATATGGTTATAAAAACAGTGGACAACATAAAATACCTATTTGCAAGGTTAATTTTGTTTCCTCTAGTAATATGATAGCCAACTCTTAATGACACGACATATTTTGTTTATTCTACATAATAGAGATTTCACTTCTCTCTTTTCCATGGACCAACTGATATGCACATACCAAGAGTAGGGAAAAGCTTTTTGCTCAGATATTAAGTACAATCCATTTTTGTCAACTTTGGTGGGAACTGTATTAAAACATACTTAAGAATAAAAAAATAGATGCATGATAACAAACTGGAATAGTTTAGAAATGGGAACCAATAGATGTAACATAAAATATCAAAGTTGTAACTATGTGAAACCTACACTCCTTAATTTTTTAAATACATGCCATGTTGTGGTTTTTGTTCTTATCTTCCCTTAATAAGGATAAGTTTTTAAGTTCCTTTAAATTTTTCTAATGCATTAGAAGGGTTATATAAATTATTCCCATCTCATTAAATGTTAATTTAAGTCTCATTAATGTTATTTAGATCTATCAAATCATTAGTACTATCATTTTAAATAAACATTATCTAAAAACATGGTTATAGTGAATGGAAATCCAGACTTACATGTTTAATTACATACTTAAGTGCTTTTATACATTAGAAAATACTTAGAAAAATTTTGAGCACATGTAAATTTTTCTTTGTTGCAACTCGTCACAAAGATTTTCTTCCCATAGAAAGTAAACAAATATATTACTACCTTCTGTGAAACAGCAGTTTTAATGTCTCCTTGGAGTGCTTCAATTTGCTTTTTCTTCTGTTCAGTTAATTGCTTTAACTCATTTATGTTCCCCTGAAGTTGCTCTTCTTCTTTTTCCTTTTGTTTTAAAGTATTCTGGGCCTGTGCAACTTGTCCCTGCACTGAACTGAGTTCCAACTTCAACTGATGAGAAGTCTAAAGAAAAGTAAAATCTGTTTAGCATTCATTCCATCAAGACACATTTATTGGGTACCTACTACATGCTAAGCACTATTCTAGGTAGAAACTACTAAGCCTGGTGGCACAGTGGATCAGTAGTAAACAAAGATACAAAAACAAAACAAAACAAATGGAGCTTTCATAACTGACACCATTCACTTTTAGATGACATGCTGGATTAGTCTTTAATATTTGTTTAATCTTATTTTCCTTTCTAACTTGTGAATTCATATTTGGATAGAGCTTGTAAATGAACTAAACTAGTATTACCCTGTATCTCAGAAAATAGGGATATCAACATCAATCTTTAGATTGCTGGAATGTCTACTGTCCTTCAAGAATATTCTCAAAATGCTAACTTAGCCTGATGGCCATGGTTAACCGAAAAGAAAAGCTCCATTTTAATGGAGCTTCAACAGTTTCCTTAGTTAGAGATCTGGGGCATATTGTGCTATGACTCTGTTTTTACAGTCTACCAGGATATACTTCTGTTCAAAATTAGGGATCATAAAAAGTCACACTGAGGTTCCTCTGTGGTCAACGTGAACTACTATGATCTCCCCATCCTTCCAGCCAAAGTTGTGTTTTCATGTTTTATGCATATTTCATTGTGAACCTAATTTGAGCACTGGACTATATTCAAAGTTAATTTTGAAAAGTTTCACTGCTACATATGGTGCTTCAGCTCATCTCCAACACAAAGGGAAATATTTTTGTGCAAAACAAAAGTCAGGTAGTGTAACAATAATGATGATTATAACATGATAACCAATGACAAAGTGACAGCTAACATTAGAGCATTTATTTATTTGGTCAAGTGTTCTAAGCACTTTGAAATATATGAACCCATTTATCTCATAATAATCCTATGCCGCAGATTGTGTTATTAGCCCCATTTTACTGCTGAGGAAACAGGAACACAAAGAAATCGAGTAATCTGCCTAAAGCAAGGTAAGTCAGCATCACTGCCAAATGGCACAGGCAAGTTATAAATCTGGACAATCTGGATTCAGAGCTTGGGTACTAAGTCACCCTCATTTTTCCACTCAAAGGCTGGCATCTAAAACACAGGTATCTTCTTTCAATCAACAACCAGACTACAATCACATAAGACTTCTCAGGACTAGGTTTTGCTGCTTTATCAAATCATATTTCTAGAAAAACTATACACCTGGATTCTAACCGCAAGAGGCAGGTCTTCTGAGAATAACAACTGTGTATTATACCCATCTATTTACTCATTTGCTGGTTTGTTTTTGATGGACAGCAATAAAAGCATCAACCATAAAAAAATCTATTGTTATACAACCTTTAACATATCATTAAATATAAATGTCCATGAAATAACCCTTAAAAATGTTATTTCTATTGAAAGCCTATCGAGATATTGTTTCAATCATAATAATGTACCTTAATCTAAATTATCTAATTATAACTTTACAGTAAAGTGATTCAATTAACTTTATTAGTGATAATCCTTTATTTTGGGTCTTTTATTATAAACTAGTTTAAATCTTTTTAGTAGTAGGTAGAACACAAATGAAAATGTTAAACTATCTTTTTGTGATCCATTATATTACAGAGAAATAAATTTCCTTTGATTTAAGTATCAGTATGAAAATATTTTTGCAAAGACAGAACTTATTATTCTTTATATATTTTGTTACAGAAAACGAAAATCTTACCTGCTTCTCTTTTTCAAGTGACTTTTTCAGTTCATTCTGTTCCTTAAGTGCATTTTCCGTCTGTATTTGAAGCTGATGCTTTAATTCTTTGCAAGATTTTTCCTTAAAAAAACCCAAAAAGCTATATTATGCAGAAGACACTTGTAGTAGGCTTAAGAACTCTGATTTAAACACTTGTAAGATCCACACATTGGAAATAAACTAGAATCATTGATGGTTCAGAATGGGATAGAATCATCCATTTCAGTTATAAAAGTGATAAATACTACAGCAGTAAAGGTAGAGGGTGGGAAAAGGTTAAGAGCTTCTATTATCAACCAACAGCAGATTACTCTGGAATTCTGTGGAATCCACATTTTCATGTCACAGAATTAATTATAATTAACTTGTCATGCTATTTTAAAAGTATAACAATCTTCAACAGAATGGAAGAAAGGAAATTTTTGTGAAAGAAAGCATTAAAACAATATATAAGGAATAATCACATATAACTTAAGAGGGAAGATGTACATATAGGAGATGACTTCTCCAAACAGAAAGAAACATAAAAGTAACATAGTAATACCATATATTTTTTGTGCTACTAAACGCCTTCACTGATTTTCATATTGAGAACAAAAGAATTTTAGTTTTGTTGCTACTCTGTTATTCCTGGTTAAAGTATTTCTGAGAACACATTCTCCGTTAAGAATTTTTTGAGACGGTGTGACTTTTTTTCCATATAGTTTAAATGTGGTTTATGGTTATCTCCAAGACATAGTGCTTTCTAGAGTTTTAGAATATTCAGTTGAGAACGAAAAAGTTTATAGTACCAGGATTAAAAGTCATCACAATCTTTCTGATCTTTTTCTGTTTTTTACGCAAGTGAATAATGTTTGAACCAGCAGCTATGTTCTCTGTGAAAACGTCTCTGAGGACAAACAGGAGGCAATCTCTCAAATCTAGCATCATACTAGCAATAAGGAAAAACTGTTTATTCAACTGAAAGTTTTCTGGGCCTCTGGAAAATTATACACACAAACACCAATATCTTTTTCTCAGGTTAAACAATCCCAGTTCATGTCCTCATAAGAATTAAGATCATTTAAATGCAGGATAAAAAGTCAACAGTAAATTAAACAGACAAACCAATACATTTTAAATAAAAATCATTTCTACCTAACCAAGTAAATATAAACAACTAACCAAATTTAATATAGCAGCTTTTCCTTTCTGATTTTCCTTTTCAAATTCACTTTTGGAGTTCTTCAAAGAATCAGAAACTTTTGATAAATTCTCTTTGGCTGCAGAAAGCTCTGTCCTTAGGGTTTCTTTCTCCATCTTCAGTTTTTGTAGTTCTGCTGCTGCTGTTTGAACTTTGTTATTCAATTCCTTGTGCTGCATCTTTGCATCTTGACTTAAATTTTCAATTTCTTGTTTAAGGATTTTTTTTTCTTCCTCTTGCTTAGTAAGCACTTGCTTCATATTTTCAAGAGTTTCAGATTTTTTCTGTAGTTCCAACTTTGTACTGGATACTCTAAATATTTAAGAAACAATTTTTTAAACAATGCATAATTTACCATTAAAAAGTAATAATTATTGAGTTTTAAAACTTCCTTGTGTAGCTCAGAAGTAAAAAAAATGATTAAACATCATAAAATTACACAACTGAAAAAATACTTAAATCTGATCTGATCATGAAACAGATGATTTTCTTTGAGTCAAATAAGTTAGTGGTAAAGCTAGGACCATCTAATCCTCCTGACTTAATCCAGTCTTATCTACTGCAATAGATGCCCCCTGAAAACTGTACATATAGAAGACCCTCTAACATACAGCAGACCCTCTAGTCTACAAGAGCCAGAAAAGCTTTTCTGTGCATCTTAAAGAACCTGCTCCCTGTGTTAGTTCCCAAGCATACAGAGAATTTTGCTTCTTTCCTTAAAAGCACACAACACATTATGTGTTTTTTAGGTATTAAACTTCAAAACATATTAACCCAGAAAAAGATAAAGCAAAAAAAATTTCATTTCAAGCACAGAGAAAGACAAAAGATTCACTTTAATCCTAGAGCCTAACAGATTATACAAGAGACTTGTTATCATTTGTCCCTTAACATAAATTTGCTACACCTGAATGAAAAAGCTACAAGAATAAGGAAATGAAGATATAGGTAAAAGAAAGTTAAAAATCTCTATTGTTTTGATAAAATTATGAATAAGATTATGAACCAAACTGAATGAAATTATGCACTAAAAGAAAAACAGGTTAAAGATAAGCCATTTTAAAAATGAAAATAAAACCAGATGCAAAGTAATGTTTCTTGAATACATGCTATCTCTGATGCTTTATAATCGGCATAAATTCAAAAATATGTTAAAGGGAGGCTGTTAAAAGATATACTAGTCACATATTTGGAGTTGGGTATTCATACAATACCAGAATATTTGCACTCTGAAAAATTTCAACTTTTAGTCCCAGAAACTTACTTTTACTTTCTAAGTGGCTAGAAAAGATGTGAGTTTGGTGCATTCATAGGATAATGCACTTCACTGATTTTCAAAGGTATAAATAGAAGTCATTATACTGGGGCACTTGGGTGGCTCAGCCAATCAAGTGAGAGACTCTTGATTTCAGCTCAGGTCAGGATCTCATGGTTAGTCATGAGATGGTGCCCCACATCAGGCTCCATGCTGGGCATGGAGCCTGCTTAAGATTCTCTTTCTCCCTCTCCCTTTACCCCACTCATGCTTACACTCTCTCAAAACAGATTAAAAAATTAAAAATTTTAAAAATTAGAAAAATCATTACGCTAATTTTATTTTACCTTCTTAATATAGTTATAATTCCTACCAAGCAACCCTAAATTAGGACTTGATATATATTACTATGCTACTTATCTTTCCCATAAGTAGTTATTATAAAATTGTAAGATTATGTGAACCAAAGAAGGCAAGAGAGAAATAAAGGCTTTCATGGTCACTATAAAACTTTATTTTTAGAAAGGACACTAAAGTGGGGTGCCTGGGTTGTTCAGTCAGTTAAGTGTCTGACTTCGGCTCAGGTTTTGATTTCACGGTTCCTAAATTCGAGCCCCGTGTTGGGTTCTATGCTGACGGCTCGGAGCATGAAGCCTGCTTTGGATTCTGTGTCTCCCTGTCTCTCTGCCCCTCCCTCACACTCTGTCTCTCTCGGTCTCAAATATAAATAAACATTAAAAAAAATTTTTAATAAAAAGTAAAAATGGTACTAAAGTAATAAACCCACAATCAGAGCTGGAAACTTTAATACCTCCTTCTCAGAAATTGACAGCACAACCAGAGGAAAAAAGTGGCAAAGATATAGAAGGCTAAACATTACCTGGAATGAATAAGTCAAGGGAGCAAAAAGTACAGAACGGGGAATATAGCTAATGGTACTCTAATAGTGTTTTCTGGTGACAGATGGTAGCTACCATTGTGGTGAACATAGCATAACATACAGAGATATTGAATCACTATGTTGTACATCTTAATGTAACATGCGGGAGTGCTGATGCATAGGAGCACATGTACCCCAATGTTCATAGCAGCACTCTCAACAATAGCCAGAACATGGAAAGAGCCTAAGTGTCCATCAACTGATGAATGGATCAAGATGTGGTTTGTCTATGCAATGGAATATTACATGGCAATGAGAAAGAATGAAATCTGGCCATGTGTAGCAACATGGATGGAACTTGAGGGTGTTATGCTGAGTGAAATAAGTCAGGCAGAGAGGGACAGATACCATATGTTTGCACGTATAGATGGATTAGTAGGAACTTAACGGAGGGCCATGGGTGAGAAGAAGGGGAAAAACAGTTGGAGAGAGGGAGGGAGGCAAACCATGAAAGACTCCTGAATGCTGAGAACAAACTGAGGGCTGATGGGGGTGGGGGAAAGGAGAGGTGATGGGTATGGAGGAGGGCACTTGTGGGGATGAGCACTGGGTGTTATATGAAAACCAACTTGACAATAACTGTTTAAGGAAAAAATATAAAAGAATCATGCAATAAAATTTTTTTAAAAAAATTAATGTAACATTGTGTGTCAAATATATTCAAACAAAAATAATTTTTTAAACATTATCAGCCACCCTGGCTTAGTTGACATTTATAAAGCACTTTATCCAACACAGAATACATGTATGTGCACATGGAAAATTAACCAAGATAAGCCATACAGTGGGCCATAAATAAGACAGTTTGAAAAGTTAAATTTTAGGGGCGCCTGGATGGCCAGTTGGTTACGTGTCCAACTTCAGCTCAGGTCATGATCTCGCGGTTTGTGAGTTCAAGCCCTGCACTGGGCTGTGTGCTGACAGCTGAGGGCCTGGAGCCTGCTTCGGATTCTGTGCCCCGCCCCCTTCTCTCTCTGCTCCTCCCCTGTTCGTGTGCTCACGCTCTCTCTCTCAAAAATAAGTAAACATTAAAAAATTTTTTAAAAAAAGAAAAGCTGAATTTTACAGAGTATGTTCTCTGTTCACAATGAATTTAAATTAGAAGTCAAAAACTGTACGCGATCTAAAAAAATTCCAAATATTTGGAAAGTAAACAACATACTTCTAAATAACCCATGCATCAAAAAAAAAATCACAAAGGAGATTAGAAAAAATATTAAACTGTACAGTAATGAAAATACATCATAAGATGAGAGTTGGAGGGAGAATTGAATATATAGATGTAGGTGGGCCTTGGGAAATGGGAAACTTTCCCTGTTCTTTGGGCTCAGCCCTGGGATCAGGGATGAGGTTTAATCAAATCCTAGATGTATTTCCCTGGCTCTTTTTTCTTAGGTAGTACAGTAGAAATGAAAGACCACATAAAAAACATTTCCATAAAGTATATAGGCAAAAAAAGACTTCAGTATTAAAAGGTTTCCTTACCTCAAGATGATGTAAAAGCCTCTGAGTTCTGAACCATGAGATTAGAACACAGAATAGAAATGGGCCCATTTACTGTGAACCCATTAAAAACAGAAAGAACCACTGGGCCCACAGGGATCTTGAGAAGGAGAATAAGAACTAACTCAGAGGTATCTTCATGGACTGATGATTGGGTACCAGAGGTGAGAAACTACACAGCGGGTGATATGAAGGATCAGATATGCTCCCCAAATACCTGCGCACTGGAAACTATGATGCGAACAGTGAGAAGGAATGCCATTTAAGGTATCCAATGCATCTCTATATCCTCAAATTCAAAGCATCAGGATCCACTCTACTTGTGAAAACAAAAAATTTTTCATCATCACTCCCAAAGACAAAACCATGAAGGTATCAGGTAATTATTATCAATCTGATGGGTTTTATTTCATTTCCCTAAAGAGTACCTCTCCCAGGCTCTCAGCTTCCATCTATACTACTCAGAGTCAAAAATCTTCATACCTTTGTTAGAGATCAAGTCTGTCAACTCAGTCAGAGTGGGCTATTTGGCATCTAAAGGCAAAGTGTACTGAAATGTTACAAGCCCTCAAAAGCCCTCCAATGGGGTCACAAGCCCTCCCATGAGACATTCAGATGAATTGGGTGGAACTGATTTTTATCCATCAAAATTCTAGTGAGTAATGTGTCCACTGAAGATCTTATGGCAAGACCCAATCTAAGCATCGACATCAAGAACAAGCTAAAGAGACTATTTCTTAGTAGTGAAGAAAAGATACCCCATCTTGGTACCTTTTAAATGACTATTTAGGAATGTCTGGAAGCACATACCCTCTCTGCCACCGACATTTGAAATTTCGTATATCATATACCAATTAATATTTTAGATCCTAATATCTTCTAAACTAATCCATCTTTTAAAAAAAATTTTTTTAATGTTTTATTTATTTCTGAGAGAGACAGAGAGAGACAGCATGATTAGGGGAGGGCAAGAGAGGGAGATACAGAATCTGAAGCTGGCTCCAGGCTCTGAGCTAGCTGTCAGCACAGAGCCTGACGTGGGGCTCGATACCACAAACTGTGAGATCATGACCTGAGCCAAAGTCGGACACTCAACCAACTGAGCCACCCAGGTGCCCCTAAACTAACCCATATATACTCAGAGCTTTCATGAGCCATTAAGCACTTAATGCAAACTAGAAAAAAAGACAATCTTCTTCAAGGTAATTTACTCCATCTGTTGAAAAACTGTCACATTATATTGATTTCACTAAACTAAGGCATGCAACTACCATCTGCAGAATGCCTGACATCTGACATTAACAAAATACAAAGAGGGTGAAGAACTGGGAAAATGAAACAGATACTACAAAAGGTAAACAGCCACAGAGAAGGTTTCACATTAAAAAACTATATAGAGAAGAGCAAATGAAACCCAAAGTCTAAGGAAGAAAATACTAAAGAGAAGATGAGGAATAAATGAAAGAGAAAAGTTACAAAATCAAAGCAAGGTTCTTTTAGAAAATTGATAAACCCCAAATTAGACCGATCAAGAAAGAAAAAGAGAAGACAAATTACTGCTATTAGTAAGATATTACTACAGACCCTACAGACCCTAAAAGTATAATGATACTATGAACATTATGCCAATAAATTTGAAGTTTAGATGAAATGGATAAATTCCTCCAAAAACACAAATTACCAAAACTGACTCAATTAAAATGATAGAAAACAATAATAGCCCTATATCAATAATTTATATCAATAAATAAATTGAACTCCAAATTAAGAAGCAATGCAGAGAGAATTTCAGACCAGTTGGTTCATTGGTGAATTCAATAAAACATTTAAAAGATAAATAATACTCATCACCCACAAACTCTTTCAGAAAAGAGAGGAAGAGGAAATATTGTCAATTTATTCTTAAGACCAACATAACCATGACTCCAATAACCACGGCAATGATATTAAAAGAACACTGCAGACCAGTAGTCCTCATTAATGCAAAGAAAATTCTAAACAAAGTATTAGCAAGTCAAATACAGCAATATATAAAAAGAATAATACAAGATGATCAAGTGGGATTTATCCTAGGAAAGCAAAGTTGGTTTAATATTTAAAAAGCAATCAATGTAGAAGAAAACGAAAGCGGGAGGCATCACCATCCCAGACTTTAGTCTCTACTACAGAGCTGTCATCATCAAGACAGTATGGTACTGGCACAAAAACAGACACATAGACCAATGGAATAGAATTGAGAACTCAGAATTGGACCCAAAAGTGTACAGCCAACTAATCTTTGACAAAGCAGGAAAGAGTATCCAATGGAAAAAAGACAGCCTCTTTAACAGATGGTGCTGGGAGAACTGGACAGCAACATGCAGAAGAATGAAACTAGATCATTTTCTCACACCATACACAAAAATAAACTCAATATGGATAAAAGACCTGAATGTGAGACAGGAAACCATCAAAACCCTAGAGGAGAAAGCCGGAAACAACCTCCTTGACCTCAACCGCAGCAATTTCTTGACACATCCCCTGACACATCCCCAAATGCAAGGGAATCAAGAGCAAAAATGAACTATTGGGGTCTCATCAAGATTAAAAGCTTCTGCATGGCAAAGGAAACGATCCATAAAATAGGCAACCAATGGAATGGGAAAAGATAGACCACACTGAGACACCACCTCATGCCAGTCAGAGTGGCTAAAATGAGCAAATCAAGGACTCTAGATGCTGGTGAGGATGTGGAAAAACGGGCACCCTCCTACACTGTTGGTGGGAATGTAAACTGTACAGCCCCTTTGGAAAACAGTGTGGAGGTTCCTCAAAAAATTAACAGTAGAACTCCCCTATGACCCAGCAGTAGCGCTGCTAGGCATTTACCCAAGAGATACAGGAGTGCTGATGCATAGGGGCACATGTACCCCAATGTTCATAGCAGCACTCTCAACAATAGCCAGAACATGGAAAGAACCTAAGTGTCCACCAACTGACAAATGGATCAAGAAGATATGGTTTATCTATACAATGGAATATTACATGGCAATGAGAAAGAATGAAATCTGGCCATGTGTAGCAACATGGATGGAACTTGAGTGTGTTATGCTGAGCGAAATAAGTCAGGTGGAGAAGGACAGATACCATATGTTTGCATGTATAGGAGGATTAGGAGGAACTTAATGGAGGGCCATGGGTGAGAAGAAGGGGAAAAACAGTTGGAGAGAGGGAGGGAGGCAAACCATGAGAGACTCTTGAATGCTGAGAACAAACTGAGGGCAGATGGGGTGGGGGGGGAGGGAAAGGGGGGTGATGGGCATGGAGGAGGGCATTTGTGGGGATGAGTACTGGGTGTTATATGGAAACCAACTTGACAATAAACTATTAAAAAAATCCATGTAATTCACCCTATTAACAGAATAGAGGAGAAAAAGCATATGATCATAACAACAGATGCAGAAAAAGAAGTTAATAAAAAAATTTAAGAAAACTAGTATAGATAGGAATGTGTTTAATGTGATAAAGGAATCTACAAAAAACCTACAGCTAATCTCAAAATTAATGATGAAGTATTTCCTGTTTCCTGCTCAAGGCTGGGAACAACCCAAGGATATCCACTATCTTTTTACATTCACTGGAGGTGTTAGCTAGCAGTAAGTCAAGAAAAAAAAAATCCTAGACATACAGACTAAAGAAAAAAATATATAACTTATTAATTCACATATACCAAGACTGTCCACTTAGAAAATTCTAATACCTCTACAAAACAAAAATGCAAACTTAACAAGGCTAGACAGTAGTAGGTCAATATGTAAGACTCAACTGTATGTTTATACTAGCCACAAATGATCAGAAAATTAAAATTAAATTTAAGAAACATTTCCAGGACACCTGGGTGGCTCCGTCAGTTAAGCGGCCAACTTCAGCTCAGGTCGAGATCTTGTGATTTGTGGCTTTGAGTCCCGCATTGGGCTCTGTGCTGACAGCCAGCTCAGAGCCTGGAGCCTGCTTCAAATTCTGTGACTCCCTCTCTCTCTGTCTGTCCCTCCCCTGCTCATACTCTGTCTCTCAAAAATAAATGCTAAAAAAAAAAATTTCCACTTACAATAAAATTGAAAAACATGAAGAATTTAGGATTAAATTCAGCAAAAGATATTCAAGATCCCTATTTTAAAAACAACAAAATGTTGATCAGAGATATTAAAGAAGACATAAATATTAGACATATACCAGGTTCACAGATTAGAAGACTCTGTATTGTTAAAACATTCATTCTCCCCCAAACTGAACTAGAGATTCACTGAAATTCCAATCAAAACCCAACAATTTTATTTGCAGAAATGGACAATATTAAAATTTATATGGAAAAGCAATAAACTTAAAAGAACCAAGACAACCTTGAAAAAGAAGTAAGTTGCAGGGCTGATACAACTTGATATCAATACCTATACCAAGAAGCTACAAAAGTCATAATAGGATGGTACTGGTGTCAGGATATCATAGAGACACACAGACCAATAAAACAGACTAAAGCCCACAAATAAACTCACACATATTAGGTAAACTGCTCTTGAAAAAGGCATCAAAGGCCACTCATTGGAAGAAAGAAGTTTTATCAACAAATCGTACCAGAAAAACTTAACAATGTATGGGGGGAAAAAAGGCGATCCTGGACTCCTTCTCAGATCTCTCACAAAAATAAGTTCAACACAGATCCTAGACCTAAATGTAAAAACTGAAACTGTAAAACTTCTAGAAGAAAACGTAAGAGAATTCTTCATAAACCTTGGGGATAGGCAGAGGTTTCATAGAAAGGACAGAAAACATTAAACATAAAATAAAAATAAGTGGCAAATTGAGCTCAACCAAAATTTAAATCTTTTCACTGAAAGATATTACCAAAAAAAAAAAAGAAAAAAAAGCTGTTAGGAAAAGTCTTGATAATCTATTTGTCTGGTTAGCTCGCTGGCTATCTGGCAAAGGATTAGTACTTTGCATATATAAAGAACTCCTACAAATTAGTAATAAAAAGACCCAATGGGGGAAAAATTTTAATAGGCAAAATAATTTAACAGACACTCCATAAGAAATGAAAATTAAACCCACAATAAGACACCATCTCATCTTCAATAAATAGCTAAAATTAAAGGACCAACAACACCAAACACTGGCAAGGATATGAAGCAATGAAACATTCCCAGTAGAAGTATAAAATGGTACAGCCACTTTGGAAAAAGGTTTCACAGTTTCTCAAGGAGTTGAACATATAGCTACTCCACCATGGCCCTGTAGTTTAACAAAAATGCTTGTATAAGAATACTGATAGCATCTTTATTCATGACAGCTAAAAACTGCAAACAACCTAAAAATACTCACCAACAGAAAACAGATAAACTATAGTCCATTCAGTGGAATAATATCCAACTATATAGACGAATTTAAAAATAGTACATTAAGTGGGAAAAAAAAAAGCCAGTCATAAAAAAAGAACATACTTGTGTGATTTAATTTCAAAAACACACAACATTAATCTATGAAGACTGAAATCAGAACTGTGGTTTTCTACAAGGTATTGACTAGAAGGGCACCTGAAGAAACTCCATGGGTATGAAAATATTGTGGGTGGGAGGGCATATTATTATACAGAGTATACACTTACTAAAACTCAAATTGTGTATGTAAGATCTGTGTATTTAACAGTATGTAAATTTTACCTCAATAGTTTTTGAAAGGTACATTGATTCTGGTCTTTCCCTTGTGTTCACAAATACAATCTGCTGAGATGCATCACAAAGCTAAAATAAATTATTTCTTACAAGAAAGTATACATTGCCTACGTGGTATAGTACCTCAAAGCCTAATTGTTCTTGAGTGATATATATATATATATATCATATATACACACACACATATATATATATAAATACTCCTCTATTTGTTAATTTCGCATTAATTTATTCAAATCAGTGAACAACTCAAAACAATTGCTTTAACCCAGAGAAATGAATGTCATATTACTGTTGAAAAGAGACTAGATGAACCAAATTCGCAATCCTTTCTAGTGAAGGTAAATTTAACCATACTATAATAGCTTTATTTTTCATTCATATTAACATCAGCAGATTATAGAATCAATACAAAATAACCATTTAATAAATCTTTAAGCACTGTGGTAGCAAAACTGAAATCAGAAGACTTTTTGAAAATGTTTAAGAGAGAAAGAGAGACTGTTACGCATGCACACAAACGCGCGTGCACATGGTGGTGAGGAGAAAGAATCCCAAGCAGGTCCTGTCAATGCAGAGCCCCACACAGGGCTCAGTCCCACAAACCATGACATCATGACCTGAGCTGAAGTCAAGAGTGGGACGCTTAACTGGTTGAGCCTCTCCAGCGCCCCTGAAATCATAAGATTCTAATCCTCAGTTTACAATCCCCTCCCTTAAAGAGTTTAGCTTACATTTCTTTCTCCATTTCAAGTTGCTTCCTCAGTTCTGTGGCTCTAAGCTCTAAATCTGTATTCAGCTGTCTCTGCAAGTGCAGGTCCCGCAAAGCCTGCTCCTTGCTTCCTTTAACTTCAAGAGCATCAGCTTCTAGTTTCTATGGAAGAAACAGAACACAGCAACCATTTTAATGTCAATAATTACCCATCTATTATTAAATATAACATTTTTGTTTATACTCAAATTGGTGTTGACATAACACAGAATAATAACCCTAAAATATTTATGTTATAATAAAAAACACGTTTTCCATTCTGAAGCCACTACTGAGTAAAGGAACGATTTATTTTGGAATTTTTCAGAGGACCCACCAGCAGGCTTTGTACATGCCAGGCAGTCACCAAGTTTCTACTTTTTAAAATTAACTCAAAATAAGAGAAAATCCTTAAGATAATTGTGTCTATTGCTAGGGTAAAAGTTATTAACTCAGTATGAAAAAACTAGGTAACAGGCTCATCATACATAGGCTCACTTAACATGTATTACCCGTTACATCTAGTAAACAACACTGAAGTAACTGTAAATATTCAAAACTAAAATGGAGTTGTCATATCATCCTTCTCCTTAATACCTATTGTCCCTAAATATAAAGACAGCTAAATTCCTGGCATTGCATCTTTAAATTCTTTTTTTTTTTTTTTTTAATTTTTTTTAATGTTTTCTTTATTTCTAGGAGAGAGAGAGACAGCTGTGAGCGGGGAAGGGTCAGAGAAAGAGGGAGTCACAGACTCTGAAACAGGCTCCACGCTCTGAGCTGGCAGTCAGCACAGAGCCCGACGCAGGGCTCGAACCCACGAACCGCGAGATCATGACCTAAGCGAAAGTCGGACGCTTAACCGACTAAGCCACCCAGGTGCCCCGCATCTTTAAATTCTTGGTTTAGAGACTGTTATTCCTCTCAGTGTAGGTTCTGTCTCATACATATACATAGAGCTGTGTGCATTTTTGCAAATCTGCAAAATCAAACTGTTAAATATAAAGTTTGAATATATATGAGTAATTCGTTTTCTTGTATAGTTGTGATAATTTTGTACCCTAAATATTTTATAAACCAACCTAGGTATCTAGAGTTCTTATTCAACTCTTACAATAGATATTTGATGTAATTGTAAAATTTTGTAACAAATAATTACATAAAACATATGGAATACTTCCTAAAATAGTTACCCAATGTTGAAGATCTGATAATCACAAGAGACAATCTTGGTTCTAAACAATTATTTGTAAAAGATACCCACAGAGAATTCTCATGAGACACTTTTTGGTAAAACGGTTCTTCTGTTCTTTTCAAATCATTACAAAAAGTAATTTGTCATACTGTCATCACTGGCCATAAAGAAAAGAAAAAGAAACTCATAAACAATTGTAAATGTAATTCTTCGTCCATGTTGTGTTGGTGTGGCTATACACACATACATGTACACAGCCAACAGTTCTACAGAAGTATTTCTTCTGTATGTGAAGTATAACTTGCGTACATATATAGTAATTTGAGAAGTATTTGTTTAGTTGATAGTAGATCCCATCTGAAGGACAAAGGACTCAGTTGTCAAACCCTTGTCTGATAGGTCTACTCAATTAATCTCTTTAGTACATCAACACTTTCACTTGGAGTTGAAGTAAAGAAGCAGTTTCCCACAGCATAAACTTATTATTAAACTAAAAACAAAATCCAAAAGGTATACATGTAAAGTTTAAAAAGTGAAGAAGTATGTCATATATGAAATGTATTCTGAAATAAGGAAGAAGGAGATAGAAATGAAGGAACAGAAGAGGCTTCATAACAACAACAACAACAATAAAATGTTAAGTTCCTTGTCATTACAGAGTATATCCCTGGTTGGTTGTTTCTTTTAAACATTACAAAGAACTCAGTATACATGTTAACTGCCATCTGTAAAAGCCACTCATTAATGAAGAAATGGAATTCAAAATTGAGACCAGAAAAATTCCAAGTAATTTAAAATTCTATATCATAACTTCACCTTTGTTTCCAAATTTAAAATTCTCTGATTCCTTCTAGGTCATCAGTTTCCATTACTATAGCAGCAGAAAATATAGGGAATATACTCAATATCTTTTATACAAACCTTAATTTGACCTTCTAATTCTTCAGTTTTTTGTTCTAAAGAAAGGTGTTTGTCTTTATATTCTTTAAGATGACTTTCCAACTGACTGCAGTGTTCTTGCTTATCCTGTAACTTTGCAGTGACCTGATCCAACTGAGTAGTGATCTTATTTAATTCCTATAGAAAAGTACAATTGAAACTTTGGTAAACTTTACTTTCTTGTATTCCCAAATGTCTGATCAAAGTAAAACTGAAAATTCTAATTTTATTTACAGAACTACTTGAAGTAAGATTACAAAGAAGCCTAATGATATATCAGAGGTTATTTTACCAATACAAAGGACCTAAACTGAAATTGTACACAGCATGAGATAATTAAGTTAATATGCATCACCACTTAACTTTTCTAGGAAGAGTTATTTTAGGAGCCAGAAGATACAATAAACATTAAGTAGGCTAATAATAAAATAGCACTTTTATATTATAATTAAATGTTTTCAACGTTCAAGATCGTATTTTTAAAAATAACATTTAAAAACTATTATGGTGACTACGTCTATGAATTTGTAATACCTAGAAGCAATGAAGAATAAAAATCACTAGTAAACCCACCACCCACAGATAATTACTATTAATGTTTTGATAACTTTCCTTTCAGTCTTTTCTGTATGTTTCCATTTTCTGATTTACACTTTTAAAATAGAAATAGAATCTTGCTTTACATAGTGTTTTATTATAACCTTTGTTTTTTACATTACAGTGCATCATGAAATTGTGACATTTTCTAAAATATTATATTTAACAGCATAAATTTCCATTTTATTAATTCAGACCTTTTCTTAGCTAACTGTCCTACTTCAGATTCTTAGATTGTTAGTAAACTTTGCATATTTTATTAATAGAAATGTAAACAGCATCCTAAAAGTCCTTAGCATAAAGGACTAAAAGTGAACCAAAGGAATAGGAAATATCCTAAAGTTCCTGAAATATACTGCCAAACAGCTATCCCTACCATTAAAAGGTCGAACTAACATATGCTACCAACAGCAATGTATGAAAGTGACTTATTCTTCTATACCATCTCCAATCCTTCCAGTGTTAAACACACACATTTTACTAAAAACAGGTGTGAAAGTCTTTCCCAATCATTGGCACTTGATGCAATGACGCAACAGTTCAACAATTAGGAGTAGATTATTCAGCTCCACACCATGGTCTACACTAAGGACTAATACAAAATTAAGAAGCCCAACCATGGCTATACACCAATTACACTTAATAAAAAACAAAAATGATACTTTTATCTTCATCTGTCTCACTCAGAAGTGGTTCTAGAACTGGTTCTGAACTCAGGCAGAAATTAAGAGGAATAAGCGAGTTGCTCACAATATTAATAAAATTGAGTATCACTTTCATACATGTTTGCAATTAATTTATCTACCAAAACATTAGCTTATGCGATGAGACTGCATCAAGTTCACCTACCTGCTGTTTATCTTGTAATGCATTTTGGGCTGTGTCCAAATGATTCTGAAGATCTGCTCTTTGAGCAGTTTTTGCTGCTTCTGCTGATAGCAATAATTCAGTTTTGGCTTTAATCTGTAATAAAATTTACCAGTCATTTGACTTGTATCTAGTTCTTGATTTTCTCTTGCTTGAAAATACACTGTTTTTGTCAAATTATTTTAAAAATTAAGTCCTTTGGCAAAAAATATAAGGACTTAGACAGTGAAAAATAAGTATGTAATAATCCCCCAAACAGGAATCAATAGGAGAAAAGACTCCTAATAATGTTGGGATAAATGATGGAATTTATTATGATATATATAAGACTATATATGTCCCTATTTGACATCAAAACACTTCTCCCTCTTTCAAATTGGGTTATCATGTAACCCATCTAACAAATATTTACATTTTAAATAGAAAGAAATGTGTAATCTCTTCCTCCAAGTTAATATGCATGTCTGTTATTTTATATTTACTTTCAATAGAATTATTTTCCTAAAATAAAGAAAATCAAGGCTTAGATATGTTTCTATAACTTTCTCTACTATAGTATAGTATAAGAAACCAATGATGAGAATAGAAAATTAAAATATGTTTTAATTCCAATCCTGTCACTGATTCATTGAACAAGACTTCTGTATTGGCCTCTGAAAAAATGTATATTAAAAATATATAATGGTGTTAACTACAGTTAGCTATATTTTAACTATACTGAAATTAAAGTAAAAACTTAATAAAAAGTTAAAAAAATAAAAAATATATATAATGGTAGCATAGAAAGTATTTTTCTGCTTTTAAATTTTAAAGTGAAATTTAAAAATCAAAGTCAAAAAGTATTTAACATAGAAATCTAATGGTATAGTATCAAAGGACTTTGAACTTTAAAAACAATAATAAGGACTTCACGAAAAAAAAGAAAAGCAAAAGGATCTGGTGGTTTCAGAAAGTGTAGTTTGCCAGTAGAAAATAAAGAGAAAAAAAGGTAAATGGGAAAGCTAAACAAACTGTCTAGATGCCACCTTTATTTAATTCTTTTTCCCAATGTTTTCCCACTAATGAAGTAAAGCAGAGAGTGAGAGGGAGGTCGGAGACTGGGGGGATAGAGACAAAGAGACAGGGAGACAGAAAGAGAGACACAAAGACAGAGACACAGGGAGAAACAGAATTTAAAACATTTGATGGCCTCATGGAAATACGAAACAAAACCACAATGAGATACCACCTCACATCCATCAGAATGGCTAACATTAACAAGTCAGGCAACAACAGATGTTGGTGAGGATGCGGAGAAAGAGGAACCCTTTTGCACTGCTGGTGGGAATGCAAACTGCTGCAGCCACTCTGGAAAACAGTATGAAGTTCCTCAAAAAGTTAACAATAGATCGATCTACCCTATGACCCAGCAATAACACTACTAGGAATTTATACAAAGGATACAGGAGTGCACATGCACCCCAATGTTTACAGCAGCACTATCGACAATAGTCAAAGTATGGAAAGAGTCCAAATGTCCATCGACAGATGAATGGATAAAGAAGATGTGGTGTGTATACACAATGGAGTATTACTCGGCAATCAAAAAGAATGAAATTTTGCCATTTGCAACAACATGCATGGAACTATTATGCTAAGCCAATTATTCAGAGAAAGACATATACGATTTCACTATGTGGAATTTAAGAAACAAAACAGGAATACAGGGGAATGGAAGGAAAAATAAGATAAAAACAGAGGAAGATAAACTGTAAGAGACTCTTAAATACAGAGAACTGAGGGTTGATGGCAGGGTGTTGGGTGGGGGGATGGGCTAAATGGGTGATGGGCATTAAGGAGGGCATTTGTTGGTATGAACAATGGGTGTTATATGTAAGTGACAAATCACTAAATTCTATTCCTGAAATCATTAACTAACTTGGATTTAAATTTTAAAAAATCTATAGTCTTAAAACAATTTTTGATGGCCTAAAATTATTTTATTTAAACAAACTCACATTAAATTGAATAATTCAGTATTACCTGTATGTCAAGCTGGGAGACCTTCTCCTTGCTCTCATTTAATTGACTATTTAGTTCATTGACACTAGTTTCTAAGGAAAGGACACGGTCTTGTGCAGCTCTAAGATGTGCCTTCTGCTCTTGCACTTGGTCATGCAAATTCTCCTGGGCTTGTTTATGGCTTTCTGACTGATTCTTCAGCTTCTCTGTTAGTTGAGTTACCTAAGTACAAGAAGACTAATTATGAAGGTCACAAATGATACAATAAAAATATATTTAAGGACCATTAGAATACAAAAGAGCTCTATGATAAGTTATCTCATATTTTTTAAGAAAATTTATTCATATCTTTCCACAAATAAGTAAACAATCTCTCAAAACCAGAAGAAAACATTAATTCAGAGATTCCTATTATTTTTAAAACCATCTCTACTGAACTATAATTTACATGAAATAAAACTCATCTAATTTAATTGCACAGCTTGAGGAGATGTGACAAATATATACACTCACATACCCATTGCCACCATCATATGGAGAACATTTCAATTACCCCAAAAGGTTTATTCATGCCCCTTTGCAGTCAGTACCCTCCACTCATCTCTAGCCCCAGACAATCATGGATATAATTAATAAGAGATCCTTTTATATTCTGAATATTTCCAAGTTGTCAGATGTATGTGTTTCAAGTATCTTCTCCCACTCTGCCTTGTCTTTTATTTTTGTAATGGTATCTTTTAAAGAGCAAATATTTTTAATTTAGATGAAATCCAATTCATCTGAGGTCTCTTTGGTGCACCCTGCTTGGAATTCATGGAGTTTCTTGAATCTGTGGGTTCATATTTTTAATCACATTAAAATTTTTTTTCAGCCATTATTTCTTCAGTAAGTAAATTTCAATAAATAGATTTCTACTCCCTACCCTTCTGTCACACCAATTATATGTATGTTAGATTATATGATCTTGTCTCACAGGTCACTAAAGCATAGGTTTTTGGTTTTTAGCCATCTTTTTTCTCTCTGTGCTTCCTTTTGGACAGTTTCAACTGCCTTGTCTTAAGGTTCACTATTGTTTCCTATTTGGTTAGTCTATTAAACACATCCAATGAAATTTGAATTCCATATATAGAGAGAAGTTCTATAGAGTTTTTTTTTTATCATTTACACTTCTATTTCCATTATAATACCTTTTCCTTTACAGCCATAAGCATACTTTAGGAGCCATACATGTTTTCTTCTTCTTTGAATGTCTGGAAATTTTTGATATTTATGGAAACAAATCTTGACTTTGTTGCCTTCTTTCAAAAATGCTTAATTTCATCCCAGCAGGCAGTTAACATACATGTGACTCAACTGGATCCTTTAGGGCTTGTTTTTATGCTTTCAGGTCAGGTGTACACTAGCTTTTACCCTAGGGCTAGTTTATCTTTATTCTAAGTTGTGACATTTCTGGGGTTTCTATTAAATGTCCCCAAAGTGCTCAACCATGTCTTTATGCTCTTGCATAAACATCTCCAAGCCCTGATAACTTTTCAGTTTGCAAGTCCTAACAATTGTTCATTGCCTGGCCACATGAAATCCCACATAAGAATGCAAAGTTTAGCAGTCAGCTGAAGGCTCTCAAATGGATTCCTATGCAGATTTTTAGAGCTTCGTCTCTCCACTATTCCCTCCTCTCCGATATTCTGCCCTGCAAATTTGAGGTTCCTCAACCTTCCTGAACTTCAATCTCTTACTACTTTGTTCAGTGAGACCACTTTGTTCAGTGAGACCACTACTTTGTGCTTTCGTTGGACTCCCCCAACCTACACCACAGTCTGGAAAATGACTCCAAGTCAAAAGTTGGAATGGTCAAAAGATTCACTTCCCTTGCTTCTCTTCTCTCGGAAGTGAAACCCTGCACTGCTTGTTGAACAGTATCTGAAATAGTTGGTTTTATATATTTTTTTGTTTGTTTATGGTAAGAGGACTAAATAGGTACTTCAAAATGGCCAGAAGCACAAATACATAGATTTATTTTTATTTATTATTTTTAAAACAATTAGAGGGGCACCTGGGTGGCTCAGTTGGTTAAGCATCTAACTCTTGGTTTCGGCTCAGGTCATGATCTGGTGATTTGTGGGCTCAAGCCCTACATTAGGCTCTGCACTGAGCGTGGACCCTGCTTGAGATGCTCCCTCCCCTCTCTTTGGCCCTCCCCAGCTTGCATTCTCTGTCAAATAAATAAACTTTAAAAATAAATGAATAAATAAATAAATAAATAAAATTAGAAAAATGGTTATTACCTACTGATAGTCTGTTTTACTATTTTCTCATTTAGATAATTATAGCTCTTATTGGACAATTCTTCTAAAAAAGCAACTATAAATTATTTCAGTTTGAAAATGCATTAACCCAAAATTTTTTAAGTTTCTCTAAAACTACATATGAGCAACTTACCAAAACTATTAGCTTTGTGTTCCAAAGACATAATTACCCAAATATAAGTAACTAGTAAGCCTGCATAGTAACCAATACATAGTAATAACTAACAGTTGATTAGTGCTTTTAGTTTATAAATATAATTTGTTATTCTTTTTTTTCAAAACATCACAAAATGCCATGAGGCAAGTGTTTTGTTAATAACATCTCTACTTTTCTAATGAACCAACAAGCCAAAATAATTTGCTTGTGGTCACACAGGTAATAAGTTATATACTGGGACATGAACTGAGATCTTTGTCAAATCATGCTAACTTACTTTTACTACAATAGCAACCCATCTCTTAGGTAAATCGGATGGTATTTGTCAAAAAACCCCCACATAATATTTAAAAAGGACTAAAAATAACCAGAATGAAGAGGCATTTAAATAAAGTACTTAGCAATATTTAGAAAGATAAAAGTGAGTTTTAGAAATAGAACACATTTGGGGCGCCTGGGTGGCTCAGTCGGGTAAGCGCCCAACTCTTAATTTCAGTCCAGGTCAGGATCTCATGGTTTGTGAGTTTGAGCCCCACATCAGACTCTGTGCTGACAGTGTGGAGCCTGCTTGAGATTCTCTCTCTCCCTCTCTCTCTCTCTCTCTCTCTCTCCCCCTACTCATGGACTCTCTCTCTCCCTCTCTCAAAATAAATAAACTTAAAAACCAAAACAAATGAAAATAGAAAATAGAACACATTTGACATGCTTACTTGTTCCTGTAAGGTATGGTTTTTTTCTTGTAACTGGTTAAGAACAGCAGTCTCTCCTTCACCAGCCTGAATTTTTGCATAAAGATCTTCTCTTTCTTTTTCTAGTAAGGAAATATTTTCTTTACTCTTCTGTAATAAGGCTTCAAGGTTCTGGATCTTTTGGTCCTTATCGCCAATTTGACGTAATACTTGTTCTAAATCATTCTGTAAAGAAGTGAAAACTACTACCTTAACAATAGAGAACTTAAAAGTTACTCCTCAAACAGAAAATGACTGATCATACATTTTACAACTCAAACTGAGTCTTACATTTTTTTACTACTCGTTACATTTTAACATGGCAAACTTAATAAGAACTATGTATTTAATGATATAAATCTTTATTATTGATAATAAATAAGAATTTAACCAAAAAAACCCTTCAAATAGCCACATTCTTATTCTAGCACTCTGACCTCACTACCCAGTACTCTTCTTGTTTAATCCATTTCAGACACGTGGGACTCTCCTTATTCCTTAATCACACCAGGCATACTCCCACCTCAGGGCCTCTGCAATAATTGCTTCTTCTGTCTAGAATACCTATCCCACAAGGTCACATGGCTCATTCCCTCTCCTTCAAACATTTGTTCGAGGGCTGCCTGGGTGGCTCAGTTGGTTAAGCACCCAGTTCTTGATCTCAGCTCAGGTCACGATCTCATGATTTGTTGGATCAAGCCCCACTGACAGCGCAGGGCCTGCTTGGGATCCTCTCTCCCTCTCTCTGTCTGCCCCTCTTGCACTGGTACACACTCTCTATCAAAATAAATAAATAAACTTACAAACAAAAAAAAGTTTGTTCAAATGTCACCTATTCAATCAGGCCTAACCTGACCATGACATTTAAAATTGTAGCCTTTCCCAATATTCCTTCTCCTGAATGTTCAGTTTTTCTTTCCATAGCACTTCTCTTTTATCACAACAAATAATTTATTTATTTTTCATGTTTATCTACTTTCCTCCACCTCACTACAATATATGCTACACGAAGGTGAGGATTTCTGTCTGTTTTATTCACTGATATATCCAAGACACAAATGGTCTAAGACATATGTTGAATGAACAGAAAAATAAAGGACTGCCCTCTAACACACGCACACGCATGAAGGCTCACTTCGATACCCTGAGGGGAATCTTCTGTCGATACATCAAGGGATCCCTCTTTCTTTACTTCACCAAGGGCCTTGGTGTTACACAGAGCACGGTGCATCCGCCCACATCCAGAACAATGTGCATTGACATTCTGGAGCTGTCCGACCCACGTTCCTTGGCTCTGCCTCACTTTTCCCTAGGACCAGGCCCTAACAAGCCCCTCTGCAAACCTTACAGTGCCCCACACCACCCTGCTCAGACAGAGTCAGCAACCACCGGTACTGGTGCTCTCAACAGTGTGCGCCAGTAAGACACCACTGGAGATCACTTCCAAACATGCTTCTCCTCTCTCTATGTTTCAATCACAAAATGATGAAAGGCAACCTACCTCTCTGCTCTCATTCTCTACTCTTAACACTAATGACCCCTCTTGTCCACATCCCATTCATCTTGGAACCACAGCTCCAGGCCTAAGTTTTTTCTTCCAGAACAGTCACTATATTTCCAAGTCAGAGCGGAAATTGTTAGTTCACCCTTTATAGCTGCTGATTCCCCCTCAACACTCTCAGATACATAAGGACCATTCCACTGGGCAGGGGAGATTGACTTCTTCCTGGTTTTTCACCACCATAACTCTACCCCTCATGTAAAAGCTTCATGTTGCTTTGGGAAGTATGTCATTCATTTATTCTATCCTCTAGTCTGTGGTGCTATTATCTATAAATCCCTACCTCATTCACTGAAGACTTGAGACCTGATTTAGTCTTTCTCTCAATCCCAATTTCTGCCAATTTCCTGGGAAATACAAAATACACAGAGAATTAAGAGCATAGCCTCAACATTCATATCATCTTAATTCCTGGACCTGTACTCATTCTATTCATTCACTCACATGTAGGATCTTGGAATCACTTCAAATTGTTCCGGATGAAAATTTTCAATTGTCCTACTTTGTGACCACAACTTCCTGACCATCTTCCAATTTCATGACCTCATTTCTGCTCTTCAATGCAATGCCAAAGAGACACTGACCTCAATTTTCTTCTGATTTATATAGCATATGCCTCATTTCTCTTCCTGAAACTCATATATGGATATGAACTAACCTTAACTATCCTCTCAACTGTTCAACCTTCTCCATTTCCTCTCACCTCCAAATTCCCAATACAGCCACCCCAAAAAGGCCCAATCCTAGATCAGTGTTGAAATCTGCTTACTCCATACCTTCATTTCTAAGCACTGTTAGAGCAAAATCATAAACCTTCAGAGATTGGTGCCACAGCAAATTTCTAGACTGTGACCTCCATTATATACTTAGAATCATCTTGTCAAATCTTTTCACTTGAGTAAGGTTCTCACCCTCAAACATTCCCTTCAATAACTACTTAAAAGCTTCAAGAGGCACATGGGTGGCTCAGTCAGTTAAGAAATCGACTTTGGCTCAGGGCATGATCTTGTAGATCATGAGCTCAAGCCCTGCATTAGGCTCTGCGCTGGTTGTGTGGAGCCTGCTTGGAATTCTCTCTCTCTCTGCCCCTACCCCACTTTCGCTCTCCCTCTCAAAATAAAGAAATAAACTAAAAACTAAAAATAAAATCTTCAATATTCCCTCTAAATTCTTAATCTCTGCCTGCCTCCCATTCAACTATCTCCAACTTTATCCATAAAAAAAAAAAAAAAAAGGAGGGAGGGTTCTTCCGGGATGATGCACCTTGATCTTCCACTCTCTTATCTATAAAGATAGACAGATAAATCAATATTTACTTCCTTTCCTCAAGCTTCAAAGAATATCCTGCAGAGAATAAGTTTAAATTTACCACCACCCATTGTATCAGTGACCTCACAGCTTACCAATACCTTATTCCTTTAGTCACCTCTCCTTCAATATCCTCAAATTATTCCCTCTCTCCCACACTGTCCCAGGCTATAAACATGTTCAGGTATCTCTTGTTTTCAAAACACTTTGCAGTGTTTTGAAACGTTTCTGTGCAGTCTTTATACAATTCATATTTAAATTTCAAAAGGAATTCAAATTTACTTTTGCAAATCCCTCATCTCTCATTTACTCACCAAAAATCAGCCTTTCATCTCTATCACTTTATTGCAATTATGTTTAAAAAGGTCACTAACATCCTTAATATACAAGAATATATATTTATAATCTATAATTATAGCTTAATATAATGGACACTTTTCACTTATCATACTTGGCATCCCTACTACACATGCACATTTGAAGTTGCGGATTACTCTGAACTTTTGACTCTCCACCTCCTTTGGCTTCCACTTGGCAGGTTCTCCTTAATTACTCTGATCATGGTCTTTCTTTGGGGTGCTCTTCCTCCAATCATCCACCCTGTTAAGTGCTAATGTTTCCCAAAAGTCTTCTGTTACCAGTAGTCTGTTCTCCTCACTACAACTCCCTCCCTGGCTGATCACATCTATTCTAATAGTTCCATGTTCCTCATGTATACTGTGATGTTTCTCACAGCTTTAAATGAATGTATACCATAGGTACCTCAGCAACATCCAAAACTGAACTCACAACACTGCCCAATGAAATGGCCATTTGTCTCACATTCACTAACAAAGTTAAGACACCTCCATTTACTATGTACTCAGTGTTATTAGTATGGAAGTCATTCACTTTCTCTCTCATTCCCTCAACTATGAAGTCCTACTTTTTTTTTTTTTTTACTGCCCAGGCATTATTCATATTTGCCCTATAACATCTTTAACAATTGCTTGAACTAACACCATTATTATTTTTCACCTAAATTACTGCATATATTAGTCTTTTAACTGATCACCTCCTTCAAAATATTCCCCCTGAAATCCACCTTTCATACAACCACAGGAATAACTTATTTAAAAATCAAATCTGGGCAGCACATGGGTGGCTCAGTCGGTTAAGCGTCTGACTCTTATTTTCAGCTCAGGTCATGATCTCACAGTTTGTGAGCTCGAGCCCACATCGGGTTCAGTGCTGACCATGTGGAGCCTGCTTGGGATTCTCTCCCTCTCTCTCTGCCCCTCCCCCATGCTCTCTCTGTCTCTTTCTAAATACTTTTTAAAAAAATAATCAAATCTGGCTATGGCACTTCTATCTTGAGACCTTTAATATTTTTCTATCTTCAAGGACAAATGTCACACAAGACCTTCTATAAACTCACCCATGTCTAATGCTCCAGCCTTTTCTCCAATCTCTAAACTACACTTTAAGCTCCAGCAAAACCTAACAGTTTAGTCATATCAGCTTCAGTATCCTTGCCCTTTTAACTCCTTAACTTGGAGTACGATCCTTACTCTGACCATCTTCACAACCCAGTAACATCTACACATGCTCTAAAACTCAGATTGTCACTTTTAAGAAGTTTCCAATCACTGCTCTTTTCCAGACTGAGTTAGAGAACTGTCCTCTGTGCAACCAAAATAATTTTATGAACATATCTACCTAGAACGACACTGATTACACCTCTTTAAATTAGTTTTTAGGACTTTTGAAATTTCCATAATGACAGACTTTGCCTGGTCTCTTGCCATCTTTTTCTTATTCTTCCCCAGGGAATGAGAATTTAACTAATTGAAAGTTTGGAATAAGGAACTAAGCATGCTTAACTCAGCCCCTTGCTCTCCCCTCAGTCTAAGAAACAACCTGCCTATAAGAAGTTGAATGCCTGTCATTTCCAGCTTTGTCTGTAACTGGATGAATAAACTCAATGCTGGGGCACACTATAAAAAAGAACACTTGGGAGCTCCTGGGAGGCTCAGTCAGTTAAGCATCTGACTTCGGCTCATAATATCAGTTTGTGAGTTTAAGCAACATCGGGCTCCATGCTTACAGTGCAGAGCCTGCTTGAGCTTTTCTCTCTTTCTCTCTCTCCCTATGCCTCTCCCTCATGTGTGTGCACCTCTCTCTCTCCCTCAAAATAAATAAATAAACTTAAAAAAAAAAGCACATAACTGCAGATCTATGCTAAATTGTCTACCTCAGTCTTAATACTCTATTTCTTTGCTACTCTTTATAGTAAAACTCCTACAGTTTTCTATATTCATTGTATCAAACTTCTCTCTTCCCATTTTCTCTTGAACCCCTTCCATCAGACTTTCATCCCTACTTCTCTCTCCAAGTTGCTCTTGCCAATGTCATCAATGACCTCCATGCTGCCAAATCCAATAGGATTCTCAGTCTTCATCTTGCTTGACTTCCATCTTCCTAACTATCCAGGCCAGACTTCTTTGAATCATCCTTGGCTTGTCTCTATCTATATCCCACATCAATATATCAGTAAATGTGTCAGCTTCACTTTTAAAATATATGTAGAATCTGACCATTTCTCACTACTTGCTGTGTTTCCAGTCTGATCCAAGCTGTATCATCTCTTTATGTGGATCGCTATAGCGGTTTCTTAGCTAATTTCTTTGCTTGTACTCATGTGTCCCTACAGTCTACTCTCAATACAGCAGCCAGAGTAATCCTGTGAAATTATAAGTCATGTTATAATGTTACTCCTGTGCTCAGAGCCCTGCAATGATTTCTCCTATCACTCCCAGTAAAATCCTTAAACTTATCTGTGAGGCTTGACATCTTCCTACTCTGTGATCTCCAGGACTCTGTGACCCTCTAACCCTCTCATCTCTCACACCACTCCCGTCACCAGCTTCCCGACAGTCCTTTGACATGCTCCTGCCTCCAGGCTTTTTAGTGTATGTATATCCCTCTCTCTGATACCCACATGCCTCACACTCTCCATTCCTCTGGGTCTTTCATCTTCTCAGAGAGGTCTTTCCTGGCAACCCTAACACCGCAGTCCCACCTCCTGCTCCCCAGGTAATTCCTAATCCCCATCCCTTTGTCACTTCCATAGGACTGACTGCCATCTAACACACCACACATTTTGCCCATTTGCCTTGGCTACTGTTGGTCTCCCTCACTAAACGCCACGAGAACAGACAGCTTTGTCTGTTTCATTTGCTGTCATATCCACAAAGTCACATCCTTGGCTAAGAGTAGATACTAGTACATATTTGTTAACTGAATAAATGAAAGAAAAAGTACATGAATATAATAGTTTTATCTCTATCCATCTGACTCCTATTCCATTCTCCAAACTCAGAAGGGGAAGAGACATATTACTTACAGCCTCCTTTAAATAACTCCAACATTGTTTCTGTGTGCACATCATTAGACTGCCATTTTCTAGCAGGCAAGCACTGTCTTATTCACCTCTTTACTTTCAGTGCTCACCACAGTGCCTGACATAGAGTACTCAATAATATTCAACGAGTTAATGAAAGACTGAAGGAATAAATAAATCTCAAAAGAGGGCACCTTCTCCTCCTCACTGTTAACAAAAATTTACTTCTTCCAAACTTCTAGGCAATGCTATAGAATCTGTATAAATTTAACCTAATCACTTATATTTTCTATGCCTACAATTCCAATGTTCCTATGATAGTTCTGAAGCAGGGAAAGACAAGACTAACAAATACTAAGTTCTACCATAGAAAATACAAAATGTTCCTTTTTACGGGGCTAACTAAATCAGGAAATTTGTACTTGTTTTAATTTTTCAAATAAGGTACTTTTAAAAATAATAAATAATTTATTGTGCATACATACTTTAATAAAACTTAAATATTTTATATAAATAAATGCAGTTACAATAATAAATCTAGCTATATAATTTTAAAATAGAAAACTTCAACATAGTAATCAAAAGACTTTCTACTCATCCAAACACTGAAAATTATCAAAACCCTTCAAGTAAAGTTTTTTGCATTATCTCGTTTTACCACCACAAAAGGATAATGATCTACTTAGTTCCTGTTTAAAAGGCTCATAATCTGAATAATATTTACCTGGGCTTCTCGAAGTTTTGCTGTAGTGCTTTGCTGGAGAGCTTGTTGTTCTTGATGCTGTTGCTTTGTTTTATCTAATTGATGTTGCAATTCTGTAGAATTTGTTACTTTTTCCTTCAACTAAAAAAAAAAAACAAAAACGTAAATTGTCAGTTGACAGCTTAAAGGCAGAATGCTCATTCCTGAATATCTGGCATTACTTCAATTCTCTAAATTCGTGAGTCTGAAGCAAAAACCTAATTCAGTCAATATATAAAATCAACTTTAAAAGCAATATCTCATTACTTATAAAATCTTAATCTCATGATTATGAAACTATTCCCTAGGAATAGACTCTCATCCTAAGAACACAATTCTTTCTCTAGGTTGCCATTTAGTTTTTATTATTGCTTTTTTATTTATTACTTTTTTCTATACTAATATGATAAAGGAATTAATTACATACAAATTTTTTGTAACAACAATCTAAGTCACAGTATCAATTATTTGTTTTATTTTTTTCCAAAACAATCATAATTATCGCTTATTGGGAAAAAAATGGGACCATCTACCATGTGCAAGACTTCGGGTCTAGAAGAAAATCCTAGCTTGATGAAGCCAGATGTAGCTTGATAAAACTACAGATTTAAACTCTCAGTGTTTGTTCAATTCTAGTAAAAGACATAATTCAATGATAACTTTAACCAAATAATACTTACCAATTTGGGCAACCACACCTTTAATTAGAACAGCATTCAATCTTATTATGCTTTAATTCACAGTGAAAATCCTTGAGTGCAAACTCAAAGTTTTATGCACCAAATATGTGTCATTAATGATCCTTACCAATTGTGTTCATTTTTCACTGTTTTATTGGGAAGTTGTCCTTCCTGGATAGGAAGTCTCTTCCTTCCCAGCAGCCTATTAAAGGTTCACTCCCAGAATCTTTCTTGCCTAAAGCTAAAAGAGCAGTCTTCTTAACATATTTTAGTTGAGAACTTTAGAGAATACAGTCACAACAAAATGACCTATATATGGTTAATAATAAATAGGATGTTTCTATTGGGGAGAAGTAAATGTCAAAATATTTTTTTTAAATGTTCAATTACAGCTCCTGACAATTAAAAAAAAAATTGAACCATAATGAATATTTAAGATGCCTCAAATCTATCAATAAACTAACATAAACTCACTTAGCTTACCTGTTCCTCTAAACGAGAAAGTTTGAGTTGTAGATCAGCCACTTGTTGTTCTTTATCCATCAACTTTTCACTTGAAAGCTGTCTCTGCTCCTTCAGCCTACCATGAGCTTCACCTAGTTGGCGCTCTGTCTCCAGAAGTTTGCTATGTAACTTTAAAAAAGAAAAAGAAGTATATGTAGTATGTATGTATAAACACACACTCATCACCACTTTCTAAATAATGTTTTCCTTTTAAATCTTAATTTTCATATACTTTGGGGGAACCTAAGATCCAGTCGAATTTTCACAGAAATTATGATGGATCACATAAAACTGCGATTAAGCATCAATTTTGGGAGTTTTTGTTCTCTTAAAAATATACTGAACCAAAGGCTCTTTTTTGAACTTGAGTGTTACAATCACTTGAGGAACTTAAAATAATAAAAAGAAATTTAAAAATCAAGTCACTCAGGGTTGCCTGGGTGGCTCAGGTGGTTAAGCGTCCAACTTTGGCTCACATCATGATCTCGTGGTTTGTGAGTTCAAGCTCCACATTAATGTACAGTAATGTATAGAACTGTCAAATCTCTATGCTGTACATGCACCAAAAAGTAATATGAAAGGATCTCCTGATATCATTGTTAATACACAGATAAGCAGACTCTTCCCATATAAGTTGAGATTTAATACATTTGAGCTAAAGCCTAGAAATCCATATTTTCATAACAAGAATCCGATTATACTGAGTTTCAGGACACTTTATAAATCACTTACTGAAAAGTAACAATTTAAAAAGCAGTAGTGTTCAATCTCAACTGCATAGTACAATTACAGGGAAAATGTTTAAATATGCCAATGCCTAGGACTATGCCAGAGATCAGGATTCAACAGGACCAGGGGTAAGGACTTGAAAATGGTAATTTTTTAAATCTCCCTAGGTGATTTTTATGTGCAGACAGAATTGAGCGCCAACTGAATTAAAGAAAACTATTGCTCTGAAGTGAAGATTTACTAACGGGGTGAAATACATACTATAAATAACTTTTTCATTCATTATGGTACAATTCCTGGTAAATCCTTGATCTTTAACTTAAAACGAATCTCAAATCAAGGCTGTCCAAGGATGGGAATAAGCCAACATCACTTAAACGATGACGCCTATGCTATTTTAGTGTAAACATGTCAAAGAAGAAGAGGTTAAATCAAGAGTAAAAATAATATACACTGGAATTATTAATAGAATGATCTGCTCTAAAGTCACACTTTAAGATATATATGTATATACTCTATAATAAATTCACTTTGCAAACCTATATATAATATATAATTCTTTATTCATTTTACTCCTAACACTTATGTGCCAACAATAAAATTACAATATTAAATGTAAATATTAACTAACTTAATCCTTATACATATAGCCTCATGAAGAAGACTCCATTATTATTTATTAGAGATAAGGAAACTGAGGCACAAGTTAAACAATGTGCCTGAGATCACATGGCTTATAAGCCTTATAACTGGAAGCCAGGCAGCCACTATGCTATTCAAAAGATATGTTAGATAATTTTTAAAACTTAAAATGATGACCTCTAATCCTCCAATTACAGAACATCAATATTCGCACATCTGTGGCTACTCAGAGAAGTGGTCATAAACACAAACATGAAGAATACAGGCTGCTGTGTTTTCAGGTCATTTGATGACAATCGCCAGCTGTCTACTTTTGTTACTACTGAAATGGGTGCTGAGGATACAGTGGAGAGCAAAACAAACACAATTCATGCTTACACTCTTTGAGGGTATGAAAACAGGCTTGAGGTAGGATTCACTTCCATTCTTCCAAAAAATATTTGCTGAAAGACCTAAGTATAGAGGCTGACATTATAAAATAAAACAAATTCCTCACATTAAGGAATGTGGGAATTGCAGTCCAATGGGAATGGCAGACAATATGCAAGTAAACATAAACTAATTATGTAACATAAAGTGTTCTAAAGAAGAATATAGGGGCTCCTGGGTGGCTCAGTCAGTTGAGTGTCCAACTCTTGATTTTGGCTCAGATCATGATCTCATGGGTTGACGAGATAGAGCCCCATGATGGGCTTCGTGCTGACAGCCCGGAGCCTGTTTGCAATTCTCACTCTCCTTCTGTCTCTGCCCCTCTCCCACTCACACCCTCTCAAGATAAATACATAAACTTAGAAAAAAGAAGAAGAATATAAAGCCAGCTGAAATAAAGAAGAGGTCCAGAATATATGGAAAATAAGCTACTTAAATAGGGAAGGCCTGGAAGTCTTCATTTAAGAAATGACACCTGAGCCAGCCTTGAGAAGTCAAGAACATGCTAAGAAAAAAAATGGGCAAAGGACCTAAAGCAAGAGAGTGCTTAAAGCATTGGTGTGTTTGAGGACTAAAAGGAGATTAACATAGTTTCACAGTGGTAGGAGAGGAGTTCAAATACATAGTGTGGGCCATACTACATGCAGACTTACATGCCAAAGTAAGACATCTGGATTCAATTCAAAGTGTAATTCAAAGCCATTGGAGGGTGGTAAGCAGAGGAATAAAGTAGTATCCTTCATGTTTTAAAAAGAGGTCTCTGGCTTCTGCATGGAGAATAGATTAATGAGGTCACTAGAAGGAAAACTTTAAGAAGGCTAATACAGTGGCCCAGGTGAGTAATGATGGTGGCTTAAATAAGAGTGGTAACAGTATAGGGACACCTGGGTGGCTCAGTCGGTTAAGTGTCTGACTTTAGCTTAGGTCATAATCTTGTGGTTCATGGGTTTGGGCCCTGCTTTGGGTTCTGCACTGACAGTGTGGACCCTGCTTGGGATTCTCTCTCTCTTTCCCTCTCTGCCCCTCCCCCGCTTGTGCCCGCTCTCTCCTTCTCTCCCTCCCTCCCTCTCTCTTTCTCTCTCTCTCTCTCTCTCTGTCAAAACAAATAAACTTAAAAAAAAAAAAGAGTGGTAGCAGTATAGATGAAAAGAAGTGGGACAGATTTGAGACACACTTTGAAGGTAGAATGCAAACAGCAGGCTAAAAGAAGATAAATGGTATCACTTCAAGGTCTTCAGGATGACCTCTTTCTTTATTATAGAACTGTGACTAAACCAACTAATCACATGTTCAAGTTTTTGTATAAAAATATGTTTGAGTAGGTTCTCAAACTCCTGATGCCCCTCCTCCCTGACAACCAAATAAAGCCCAAATTCCTCGGCCTGCTATTCAACACCCTACACAATAAGGTTCCAAGTGCTCTTTCCAGTCACAATAGTCCACTCCTATTACACACACCCCATCTTAAGAGGAAATCGGTGACCCTTCCTGGTTCTTATAATACTTTGCTGACACTAGTTTATTCTCACTAATCCTTCTGCCCAGAAGATTCTCCAACCTTCAGACTGCCACTTGTCAATACCTATCCAAGATCATAATTTCATGCACCACCTCTATCTCACACAAAGCTTTTCCTGATCACATAACTGAATAAAATAATTACATAAATGAAGTGCTATGGGAGAAGAAACCAGAAGAGGAACTCTGCCAAATTCCCATCATATATGGGATCATTTTATTATAATCCTCACATTCTTTGGTACAGGACAGTACTTGCCTTATCCTCAATGGATTTACATAATCATTTAAGGTAAGTACTGTTTCTTTTTTCAGTTCTCTATCTCCCAACAAATAAAACATAATGTCTTTTAGAAACCATAAGTGCCCAATTTATTGATCTGAAATGAACATTAAAAATCTAAGTTACCCACTAAAATCTCTGCTGATTAACATGCAATGTGCCAGGTAGTGAATATAAAAAATAAGTAAGACATGGTCTTGGCACCCAAGGAGTACAGAGTCTAGTGAAGAAAGACACATAAGTTATGATAATATTCTATACCGTGGTAAGTAATGCTTAAGCCACCTTTGAGGGGTCAGGTGGCAAAGTTCAGGAAAGGATTTCTATAGAAGAGTGACAAGTAAAGTGGCCGTGCGTTCATCAAGGAGAAGAGGAATAGCAAAAATATCTCAGGCCAAGAAGAAAGAAGGACTGATGCCATGAAAGCAAGTATCACTGCCATATTTAAGTGAAAATTCCTGAATATTATCAAAAAAGTGGCTAAGGACTTTAATGTCTCCCAAATTTCCATTTTCAACTGCTTTTTAATGTTATCTATAAGAAATAATAAGAATACAGAACTTAAAATTTAAGTTAATGGTAAAGTCAAAACTTGAATTAATCAAGTTACTGATGACTCTGATAGGTATTATTTACTTATAAAAATATTACAGCTAATTTGTTTTTTTCTTTTAAAATATCTAATTTTGAGGCTCCTGGGTGGCTCAGTCAGTTAAGCGTCCTACTCTTGGTTTTTGCTCAAGTCATGATCTCACGATTTGTGGGATCGAGTCCTGAGTCAGGCTCTTTGCTGTTCACACAGTGCCTGCTTGGAATTCTTCTCCCTCTCTCTCTGCCACTCCTCCCTCACGTATGCACATGTGATAAATAAATATTTATCTCTCAAATAAACTTTAAAATAACTAAAATATCTAATTTTTAAATTATTGATTTCATCATAATTATATTTTAAAAATTTAGTAACAAAAAAAGATATTCTTTAAAGAATAATCAACAATGTAAATTAACTATAGTAACTAATATATGCTGAGTACCATGTAACAGGTATCATCTTAACCAATTTATAGGTATTAATTCATCAACACTTCACAGCAATACTATATGATGGGTGCTAACGTTTTTTTTCTCATTAAGGAAAACTGAAATTAAAGGAAATGAGATCTGACTCAATACTACAGGTTGTTATAAAAACTAAGAGTTAATTTTTTAAATGACTTTTTTTAATGAACCATGCTATGATCAAATAACTACCAAGCATACAAGAAACCACAGGAGGAATTCCAATAAGTAAAAGTAACCTCTCTTACTTGATTAATTTCACTTTGGAGTTGTAACCCGTGCTGCTCTTTTTCTTCTCTCTGCTGCTGTAGCTGTTTAAATTCAGCCTTCAGATGCTGGTACTTGGTCTCTACTTCTGATAATTCTTCCTTGAGCTTCTGTGTAGCCTCACCCTTTTCACCTAGCTCTGCCTGTATTCTCTGCAGCGAGGTTTCAGATGCAGATAATCTTGACTGAAGCTGTTGACAATCGAGGTCTTTTTGATGAAGGCTTGCTTGTATATTCTTTTTACTCACACATTCTTCATTATGTTTCTCCTCTAATTGAGTACACTCCAGTTCTTTCTTATGAAGCTTTTCAGTCAAGTTCTGAAATATCAATGAAACAATTTCCTTAATATTTATAATTATTCTAATTATTCAAACAATCTTTACAACAGTACCATCAAAATTAGCCAAAAGTGCAAATATAAAAACAGTTAAAAAAAGGACTAAATTTTACATAATAACTTATTTTATTATTGGCCCATTGCACTATGCTCTACTACACTCTAATATAAGAATTACCAACTGAATTTTGTCCTAAAATGAAACACTAAAATCTACTAGACTCTTTAGGGTATATAACATGTATATTCTCTCATCTGAGTTAAATATTAAAACTACTTTCTATCTTTGAGGTGCCTGGGTGGCTCAGTCAGTAAGTGTCAAACTCTTGACTCTGGCTCAGATCATGAACTCACGGGTGGGCTTGAGCCCTGTGGCAGGGTCTTCATTGTCTGTGTAGAACTTGCTTAGGATCCTTATCTCTCCTCTCTCTCCGCTCCTCCCCTGCTCGTGCACTTGTGTGCTCTCTCTCTCTCTCTCTCTCTCTCTCTCTGTCTCTCAAAATAAATAAATAAACATTAACAAAAAAACCTACCTTCTATCAACAAACATTACTTTGAATAACAATATACTAGAGCGATTCTGATTTGAGATGTTGTAATTTCATAGTTGAAAGTACGTAACAATACCACCTAGCTCTAGTATGCAGACCCTGCTGATGCTTTTTTTTTTTTTTTACTCTTCTTGATAAAGACCATTTTTAAGAGTCACAAGTTTAAGATTAACTCAAATTTCTTTTGAGGTGTATAAAAATAGTGATCTAAACATAATTTACCTACCTTATGTTATTTTAATCAATACTATCAGGTACAAAATATAAAAAATGACACCTCCAATCAAAGATCTGGATCAACCAGCCTGATCAAATGTTGAAATCTAGTCTCAGTGGAGTTGTTACAATTAATATTGAACATTTTAAATCAATATGCTTACATATAAGACCTGAATCAGAACTCTGACTCAATTCTGTAAGAACAATAGCTAGGATAAGAAGCTACTATAAGCATCTGACAAGTCAGTCTGTGGGCACTGATTATACTCACGTTTTATACGCAGTGTGCTAGAAGGGGATAATACAGAAATAGTAGAGGACAATCAAAGCCTCTGGTCTCTAAACAGACTATAATCTAAATGAAATACACACATAAAAAAGAAAAACCTTTCTAAGAAAGTTAAAACATAACTCTCAAGCAAAAATGAATTAATACAGGGGTGCCTAGGTGGCTCAGTTGGTTTTGGCTCAGGTCACGATTTCATGGTTCATGAGTTTGAGCCAACCATTGGACTCTGTGCTGACAGTGTGGGGCCTGCTTGGGATTCTCTCTCCCTCTCTCTCTGCCCCTCCCACTCTCTTCGTCTCTCAATAAATAAATAAATAAATAAACTTAAAAAATGAATACAAAAACTGTGTCAGATATAAGTGAATACTTTTTTTTTTTTTTTTACGAAGTAAACAAAGTCAGATGGGGCTAACTGGTAAGTTACAATCACCCGAAAATAAAGTTTGAGCTTAGTAAAGTGGTGACAGGAGTTAAATAATCAATATGCATGACTCATGAATGTCATTCAAAAGACACAAAAATTTATATAAAAAGACACAAGGGAACAGGAGACAAGCGAGATGCGTGTGGGGAAAGAGCAAACACTATTACCTCAAGGGGAGTAATAAATCTAGGTCCCAAAGTAGGAAAGTTAGCAGTAAAGGTTCTTAAACACCTGAGAAAAGGTACATTAATGTATATTATCAAGTAGGAATACACTACAGAAAAAGCAATGTCCAGAAAGATGTTATATGGTAAAAAAAAAAAAAAAAAAAGATAAGAGACAAAGGTAAGAACAACCAGAAGCTTACAGCAAAATTAGCCAAGAGATGTGTGCCTTGACCAATCAACAGAAACAAAGAAAGAGTAAGAGTCAAATGACTAGAGGGAAAAAAACAACTTTTGAGTTAAACTATAGGTTAAAAAAACTCTTTTTATAAACGTTTCTTTGTGTTACTGGCTAGTAACTCCAGACCTCTCTTGATGTAATTTTACACTTATTTCTTTTAAGAAATTATATTTATTTTGGACTTTGTATGTTAAATTAAGGTTATTCATTGATGTACAACTGTGTTGCACCTTTTTACATTTCCCCCCATCCTGACCCTGACATCTCCCCTTCCCTACTCATAGCTGTGCTACATCTTTTTTTTTTTTTAATGTTTTTTATTTATTTCTAGGAGAGAGAGAGACAGTGTGAGCAGGGGAGGGTCAGAGAGAGAGGGAGTCACAGACCGAAACAGGCTCCAGGCTCTGAGCTGGCAGTCAGCACAGAGCCTGACGCGGGGCTCGAACCCACGAACCGTGAGATCATGACCTGAGCGAAAGTCGGACGCTTAACCGACTAAGCCACCCAGGCGCCCCTGTGCTGCATCTTTTTAAAGAAAATTCTAAGTTACTGAACTTCATGAAAGCCAACATGCTCACATATACTAAGAATGTGGGCAGGATATAATTTTAAAACATGATGCACCCACAAATGTATGGCCAACTAATCTTTGACAAAGCAGGAAAGAATATTCAATGGAATAAAGACAGTCTCTTCAGCAAGTGGTGCTGGGAAAACTGGACAGTGACATGCAGAAAAATGAACCTGGATAACTTTCTTACACCATACACATAAACTCAAAGTGGACAAAAGACCTAAATGTAAGGCAGGAAGCCATCAAAATCCTCAAGAAGAAAGCAGGCAAAAACCTCTTTGACCTTGGCCACAGTAACTTCTTATTCAACACATCTCCGGAGGCAAGGGAAACGAAAGCAAAAATGAACTATTGGGACCTCATCAAAATAAAAAGCTACTGCACAATGAAGGGAACAATCAGCAATACTAAAAGGCAACTGACAGAATGGAAGAAGATATTTGCAAATGACATATCAGATAAAGGGTCAGTATCCAAAATCTATAAAGAACTTATCAAACTCAACACCCAAAAAGCAAATAATCTAGTGAAGAAATGGGCTAAAGACATGAACAGACACTTCAAAGAAGACATCCAGATGGCCAACAGACACATGAAACAATGCTCAATATCACTAATCATCAGAGAAATACAAATCAAAACCACAAAAAGATACCACCTCACACCCGTCAGAATGGCTAAAATTAGGCTAAAATTAGCAACACAGGCAACAACAGATGTTGGCAAGTATAGAGAAAGAGGATCTCTTTTGCACTTCTGGTGGGAATGCAAACTGCTGCTGCCAATCTGGAAAACAGTATGGAGGTTCTTCAAAAAATTAAGAATAGAACTACACTATGACCGAGCAACTGCACTACTAGGTATCTATCCAAGGGATACAGGTATGCTGTTTCAAAGAGGCACATGCATCCCAGTGTTTATAGCAGTACTATCAACAACAGCCAAAGCATGGAAAAAGCCCAAATGTCCATCAATGGATGAATGGATAAAGAAGATGGGGTGTGTGTATATATACGTACACACACACACACACACACACAATGGAGTATGACTCAGCAATCAAAAAGAATGAAATCTTGCCATTTGCAACTCCATGGATGGAACTGGAGGGTATTATGCCAAGTGAAATTAGTGAAAAACAAATATCATATGACTTCATTCATATGAGGACTTTAAGACACAAAACATAATCATAAGGGAAAGGAAGCAAAAATAATATAGAAACAGGGAGGGGGATAAAAACATACGTGACACTTGAATATGAAGAACAGAGGGTTACTGGTGGGGTTTTGGGAAGGGTTATGAGCTAAATGGGGAAGGGGCATTAAGGAATCTACTCCTGAAATCGTTGTTGCACTATATGCTAACTAATTTGGATGTAAATTTTAAAAAAATAAAAAAAATTTTAAAGTCAAAAAAATAAATAAATAAAACATGATGCAAAAACTTAACACTAGTAATAAGTTAGCCAGTCTTCTCCATGGGCTTATGGTGTAACCAAATATTCCCACCAATTATATACAGATGACCCCTCAGACAGCTTCAAGAAGTCTTTTAAGACTTTTAAGAAGTCACATTTTAATCAGAATCTACCTGGGTCTATGGCACAGATGAAAGATAATTAAATTTTCTTTAACAAAACCTCAACAACTTTCTTTTCAAAAGATCAAATCTAGGGGCACCTGAGTGACTCAGTCAGTTAAGCAACCAACTCTTGATCTCAGCTCATGATCTCACAGTTCATGGGATCAAGCCCTGAGTTGGTATCTGTGCTGACAGCACAGAGCCTGCTTGAGATTCTCTCTCCCTCTCTCTTTGCTCCTCTCCGACTCACACACACACACACTCTCTCAAAATGAATAAATTAAAAAATATATTCTTAAAAATAACCTGCTCACACTACATAATTGTTACATGCAGAAAGGTAACTATATTTAGTATTATATATTTTCATTCTTACTATGGTCTTCTCATTAAATCTGAAGCAAAACATTATAGTGAATACATGGTTTTTGAAGATTGATTTAAGTATAATGGGAGTCATTAAAGAAGATAATAATTGCACTTTCACATCTCCATATTAATTCTTAAAACACAGTACAGACTACATCATGACCTCTACTCTCTGGATGAGGATGTGAGAGCTGAAAGAACCTGCCACGACTTAGCCAAGTGGCAGTATCACATAATATAATTCCAAGTCCAGTAAATCATCACAACACAATTTAGACACTCAGTAAGTCAATTCATGCTCCCCCCAAAATATCCCATTCAAGTTTAAATTCCAAAATGATTGCTAAGCCTAACTCATAACATAATTGTCATTTGGGTAAGCAAAATTCCTTCCTTCCAAATATCCCATCCTCTGGATTTCCTCACCAATTGTTCTCTCTAAAGATTTTCTTACAAAGATAATTTCCCTATATTAGACTCCAGTTTTCACTTGTTCCTTGCCGAGGTAATGAGAATGAATGCAAAAGGATGGCATTTTTTTAGCTTACAAAGTAGTTTCAGGCAT